GGAAAGTAGAAATACAGTGCATGATATCAGTCCAACAATGCACCTCTATGCTACTCTTCAATTTTCAGAAGGAATCTTTTTTCATACAAGCCAGCCACAGATGCAGAAGTAGGATATTGCCCCTAACTAATACAAACTGTGCATTGTCACATATGTCTTCAGAATACCCAGGGTTACTAGGTACTTCAGAACTTTTCTTTTTTTCTAAATCATGGTTTAAATGTAACTTTATTACTGAAAAAAAAAAGTTAAAAGTAAAAATCTTCTTTAAAGATCTATTTTATGAAAGATTTTAGTATCTATTTTATGATTTTAGTATCTAATTGCTATTTTTATATTAGCAAAGCATAACAATTAAAAGATTAGATTATACCTAGAAAAGTCATGAAGTGCTTCAAAAGAAATCATTATTTTTAAATGCTTAACAATGTGCATGACAGTGCAAATGAACATGAAACTAGATAGATTACATAATTTTATAGATGCTTAAGGATTATACAATCCCTGGAGGTAAACCTCCCTCCTTCATGATAAGATAAATTTACATTTCATTAAATGCTCAAACTGGTTTGAAAATGCTTATCAAAGGTGACAGACTTTGCATTCCTAAGGAGGTGAAGTCTTCCATTTTAAAATGATAGCATTGGGCCAATTAATTTATACGTCATTGTTAGCTTCCATTTCCATATTAATCTTATATAGAATGATTGAATCATTTAGGTTGGAAAAGACCTTTAAGATCATCAAGTCCAACTGTTAACCCAGCAGTGCCAAGTTCGTCACTAAACCATCTCCCTAAGTGCCATATCTTTTAGGTAACTCCAGGGATGGTGACTCAAGCATTGCCTTGGGCAGCCTGTTCCAGTGCTTGACAACCCTTTCCCTGAAGAAATGTTACCTAATATCCAGTCTAGCCCTTCCCTGGTGCAACTTGAGGCTGTTTCCTTTTGTCCTATCGCTTGTTACATAGGACAAGAGACCGACCCCCAGCTCACTGCAACTTCCTTTCAGGTAGCTGTAGAGAAAAGGTCTAGGTAGACAGCATCCACACCCTTTTCCTCATCCACTAAGCACATCACCTTGTCGTATGATTCAATAGTCCAAGTTTAAACTGTTAGTTACCTTTCTGTCTCTAGTGCCACCCAGCACTCTTATGAAAAGCACCAGGGATACCATTTTAGGGATTTCTTCTGTTTCAGTCTAATCATTTGGCCAACATGAGAACTGCTTTGGTAAAAGAATCGAGTATTTATTGACACAATTAACTGTTTGTCTTAATTAAGGGTTCTTGAATAAAAAAATAACCCATGTCAGATCACTACAGGAAGAATTTCTTGTAAGGAAGGAATCAAATAAAATGCCAAGGAAATCATTCAGAACACCTACTGTAAGTACCTCAACTAGATATTGCAAACATCTCCATGTTTCCCAATCTTTCTATGAGACTTCCTTGGTCACACTAACTTCCATTAATTTATCTTAGCAAAAAAGTCCAAATCCAAGGACTGTCATTAACAGTCAGCAATGCTTCTGCATGTACATTAAGAAAGTAAACTCTAATCTCAGCATTAAACACAGAAGTATTATACACCCAGGAAACGGTCTGCAGAAGGAAGTGCCATCCTCTTGTAATTCATTCACAGCTTTTTGAATTTATAGGCTGTGTTAACCGTATTAAGGCACTGTTGCTGTGGCACTATGATAAAGTAATTTTCCAAACTTGTGATAAATTGGGTAAATGTGGTAATAAAGAGAGCAATTGAATTCAGAATGAAATACGCAGTGGTTTGGGTTTGGTTTGTTTTTTACTTGAGGTGAATTAATGCAGTACAAGTGCAACTGAACCAGGGGTTTTGCAAAACTGTGAGGTTAGCTTTTAAAAGGCACATCATTAGCTTTTTGAGTTTGCTTCTAGGTTTGTCTCATCATACAGAATGGGATTCATTCTGCAGCCAGTTGTCCTCCTCCCACCTAGGAGAATCTTGAGGGTTGCATAAAGTAAAAAAAGACATTTTGCATGATTTAATTATGAGCCCTTTAGCTGCTGCATAATGTTGATAGAGTCCAGAAAAATGTGTCTTGTCTGCCTTTGGCAGCATAAAATGGGAACATGCTTGTGCTCAGAAGGGAAAAAAGACACATGGAAAGACTGGAATAGGGAACATGCACTTGACAAATGACTCAACCCTGAGAAAATTAACTGGCAAAATATTGACAGTTCATCCTCTGAAAATTTGACATTGTCAGAGAAAAAGGTTTCACTGTACCTGTTGGGAAGAAGCAAAAAAACCCCAAACCAAACCAAAACACAAAAACACCAACAAAAAAAACAACCAAACAAACTAACAAAGAACCAAGTACCCATTGTCAAAGTCTAACTGCCTTCCAAGCTAATCAGGATCTGGTTATTTGAATCACTTGTTCTTGCCAGAAGCTGTATACCGATGGAACAGTGGTATATCACTAAGTATTCCTCCACTGGAAAAAATCATGGTTCTCTATTGCTCCAGTTTCCATCCCTGAATTTAACTGATTTTACTCCCCTCTTATAGTCATGGGAGTGAACAAGGGTAAGGCCCATATATCTAACGCCCCCAATCCTTTAGAAAGTCAGAGCAAAGAATGACTTGTGAAGGCTGTTGTGTTTAAGGTGAAGGACTGTAAGTTTGTTAGGGGCTGATCCTGTTCCCACTGAAGTCTAGGGGAGTTAGGTTTATGAACAGGAAGCTTCCCTCAATGCATCTTAGCTATCTTCATATTCTTCAGCTGTCCAGTTCTCTTGGCTGTTCCTTACAAGTCTATAGCTCCAGAGGTGAAAATTCTCATGTATTGTAGTACATACCCAGACAAATAATGGGATCTGATCCCACCAAATGGTATGAACTTGTAGTAAGCATGCCCCAGTTTTGGGCATTGATTAATTTTGCAGATATAAACCCTCTTTTTTGTGGGGGCTGTTTTTTGTTGGTATCTTGACTTCCACCTTAGGAAGAGTCAGATGAAATTTATAAACTATGAGTGAGATAGAAGCCTGACTTAGTTACAGTGAGCAGAATACATCAGCTGAGTCAGCACTAAATAATCCCACTGCAGTCAGGAAAAAGCATTACAAGTCTCTTTCTGTTAATAAAATGGGGAGCACAAGGAAGCGAGTGAAGTATTGTTTACTCAAAATGTCCATTCCCTCATAGTATATCAAGCCACTACTGTGAGTGTATTGATACAGGTTATACACAAATTTCCACCTCCTTCAGCCAGGACAAAGAAATGGAGTATGACCTAGGGAGAACTGCCCTGTTTTCTGTTGCATGAAATTAAGGGTATTAGGTTGAAAGACTTGTGTTCAATTATCTTGACATGTAACTAGTGAGGCTTCTAATCTTGGCATACCTGTAAATTTTTTTGCAGAAAAGATGCCTCCCCATCTCTGAAAAAACAGAAAGAGAAAAGCAGATTTGCTGGTAGAATGTCTCCTAGAATGGCAGAATCATATTTCAGGAATATCAAGTCACCCTGCTTTTCCATCATGAGTCTTAGGATGTCTAAATTCAAACAATTTAGAATTTAGATCACAAACTACCCTCTAAACAGTGATTTGATGAAACACAGGAACCCTGTGAAAGACTTCGTATTTTTCTTAAAATATGGCAGAATGAGTATTTGTTTTGAGTACAAAACTATCTTCTTTAAAAAATGGATGGCTTTGTTGAGATCTTTTCAGAAGTAAAATTCATGAGGGAGCATCAATGTCTTTTAAGCCCTGTTTAAATTTCAGGTCAACATTATACTTGTGTTTTATTGTAGCAAACATGATACAGAACACAAATAATTTCATTCCCATTAAGTAAAAATTCTCTTAGACTAAAATGAACTTCATATCAGCCTGAAGCTATTCACTGTACATGCAGAAATGTAGGAAAATATAAAATCCAGATGGTGGTTTAGCTAGGAAAAAATATGACTTGTAGGGATTAAGAAAACTAGAGAGAGAAACAGTAAGTCTTCAATTTTTATAGCTGACATGTCAAAGCAAACCTATAAAAGAAAGTATCAGGACAAACACTGCTTGCATAGTACACCAATAAAGTGAAGACTGCACATGAATAAGTCAACAAACTGTGACTGCAGTCTGTCAGAAACATGAGCATACTGGCACGCTCTCTGATGTTAAAGGCAGTGTTCGTAACCAAGACTTAAGCGGCTTGTGTTTGCCACTGATTTTGCAAGTGTTTTTGCACAGAAAACCATATTTATAAAGTAAGTTAAAAGATTAATCACTATTTGTTCAGGTCTGTCGCAGATATCTTCATACAGCTAAAGCTTAAAAAAAATATTCAATACTTGAAATAAAATGAAAAGTACACTACAGTATGAAATACATTTCAGGCAAGTAATTTTTCAGGTACTTTTCTTGAATTGTCTGCATAACCACAGTGTTCATAAAACAACTACATGATGATGTATGAATAGTAACTTCCTTGGCAGTAGTTATGCCAAAGAAAACTTATTTACCGATTGCAGGCAACCATACAATAATGTAAGGATTTCTTTCTTATTGCATGAACCAACCAATCAGGGTGAAGCATAGATGGTGAATGGTGAAAACAGAAAATACAATGTTCATTTTTCCTTTATTTCTAAGGTGAATAGCTAAGCTTTAGTGTTGTCACTGAGAAGTGGGTCTCTGCTCTGAAATGTAGAACAAAATAACGTGGGTTGACCTAGAAATTGTACAGTTTCTGTGGTTACAGAGGTAAAATCATGCTGCAAACATGAGGCAACAGAACATAAATTGCTACTTGGCTTATGTGTTTGTCTTTAGAATCATAGAGAATTTAAAAAATATAAATACTAATTCTGAAAATCAGATCAACAACAACAAAAAAGAACCCTAAATCTGTAGCACAATTTCAGTACACAAAAGCTGTACTTAATCCATGGCAACTACAGTGAACTTGTAAAGAGTGAATATCACATCAATATTCCCAGCACCAGCTCAGTAAATTCACAACTAATCTATTGTTTTATTTATGAGTATTACAGCTCAAGCTTGCTCAAGTTCCACAAGGACTCCATGGCAATCTTTAGGGTGAAGAAAAATCACAGGTTTGCCATGTGCACCTATTTTTGGCTCTTCACTCAATATTCGTATCTTTTTTTTCTTCAGTTCTGTCATAGCCGCTTTTATGTCATCAACCTTATAAAAGAAAAATACAGTTCACACAAATTAATACATGTTACACTGTATTATGCAGATTCTACAATTAGGAGCAATAATGTAATTCCTTACTAAAAGTTATTTCTAAATTTTAATATAATTTTGAAAATAAATTATGAAAGTTTTAAAACATCTAGTTTTAAAAATCCTACAAAGGTTTGCATTTGTTGTTTGAAGATTTTATAAAATATTGTTTAAATAGACTGTGTTATATTTAAGACATTATTAAAGAATCACTCATGCACAAAGCCCATTGTTTATTTTATATTGTTACTTTATAAGGACTCCATAACTAATCTGAAGTCTGCACTACTATTACTGAGATCGTACTGCTTTCAAATTATCAATAACTAAAGAAGAATGCCTCCTTAATTGATGACAGAACTCATTAGATGCTGGTAAAAGGGAGGGCGATAGGTAGAGGGTAAAAGGAAAACCTCTTTTACATGTATGTATCTTCCTTCTGAGTAGATTAAGCTTCATAAAGTTTACTAAGAAAACCTCAGAATTATCAGAAACATACCCAGAATATGACCTGTTTTCTTATTGAGCTTGATTCTGATCATAGCTTTTAACATATTTCGGTACAGTTTCCTGCAGAAATATGTAATTAACAAAACCATGTCTACACTGCATAATGTGATCTGAAGTCTGATGTCATGTCATCAGATGAAATTTGAATTTTCTCAGACCATAACTGCATTAGTTCTTTGAAATAATTAAATTAGCACTCAGTTTGGCAAATCCAAGATTCAATAATCAATAAGAAGCTGGAATTAATACCATTGCCATTTTTCAAGACAGATGTCTGGACATAACTTGGTGAATAAACTTGCATGAAGCCATTGTAGGGAAGAAGGAAATACCTAGCTTTAATTCAGAGGAACAGACATCAGTTTATTCCTACTCATTTGCACCAATTCTGTTCATGAAAATTCTGAACTCGCTACAGTTCTTCCCACACAGAACTACCAGTCTGCTAAAAAAAATAAAGTGGACTGTCAAGTTTCATCTAAAATAAACCAGCACATGTCATGTGTGCCACAGCCCCCTCCAGGTTGTTTCCCCAAGCAGAAAAGCTACTGCAGCTGCTGCTCCCGTCTTGCAGAGATGGCCAGAAGAACTATGTCTGGGCTCAGCTGGAATGAATTACTGCATCCTGAGGAAGCAGAGAGAGTAAACAGTGGAAAGCCTGTTGGTGCATCCATGTTAGGAGAGTATCAGGATCAGATTTCTCTCTTACTCTACAAGTGTCCAGCATGCTTTCTTTGCAGGTACTAAATTCAATTATAGCTGGTCAGGAATAATCTAATTTCTTCTTAGAATGCTTATTTTGTCTGAAACAAATACCCTATCAAAACTTCTGTCTGAAATTTTCCTTTGAATAGTAAGACGGAAGAAAGTAAAAGCACATTTTGATAAACTTGTCAGGCTTCCTTTGCAGTATGGAAAGAATTTTTACAATTCAGCTTTTTCCAATAAAATTGTTCCTAGAGAGATATTTCTACAAAATACTTGTTTTATTTCAGATGAACAGTCAACTAACATGGAAGTTCTTTCAGTTTTTCTGAAAACTGTTTTTGCTCAGCTTCAGAAGACAACATATCTTTGAAATTATTAATATCTTTTTGATTGACTATGGCAGTGGTTTTCAGCCCCACTTAAACAGCAGGTCAACAATGGATAGCTTTTTTCTCTATGTAAATTAGTCTATAATCTTCCATTTGTTTTTACATGGAGACAAACCTGAGGGACTTAGGACAATCTTTCCCTCTCCACCCCAATTATCTGTTAGTGATTTACAAGACTTCATTTAGGAAAATCTGGCTGCAAGTAGCACTAGCTCACCCGATTAACAGGAATGAACTGCTAGATTATGACCCCTGGCTTGCTTGACCTATTGTATACAGTTATAAATTTCCTTTTTTAACACAACACTTTTACATTGTCCAATGTGGTATAATTAGCGTGTTCCATTCTTCTCAAGTTTCATAACTAGCTGTATGACTTCTCTTGACAGCCATCTTTGGTTTATATGCAACAAGATCATCTCTCATACAAGATACCAATCTACATAGAACTATTTCAGCTGGTAAAAAGTATTTCTTTAAACATCTTAAAAGGGACTGCATATACTTGAAAGCCTAGGGGGTTTTGACCTGGTTTTGCTGAGAAATGCCTACAACTTCCTTCCCTGTACCTGTAAGTCAGTCCACTGGTCTTAGAGAGGACTGGAGGGTTTTTTTTTTTTCTTACTGGCACTTCCCTCTTTCTTCTACAGTCCCCATTTCCTAAGTTCAGTTGAGGTCAAAACATTTCTAAAGCAGAACTGCCTAGCAATACAATTTATGGTCAATTTAAACAGCATTCATTTTCTTATTCTTGAATATCTGCAAATAGTCAAACAATGTAAGAAAAAATGCAATGCCTGTGTGTATGCAAAATTTATCAATTCTCGAAGAAAGCATGCAACTGCAAACACTGGTCGTAATAGATGTATTCTGAAAACAATTTTTACATCAGTAATCCCATTACTTTTTATTATTACACTTTGCATGAAATAATAAAGTTTGGAAGACTCAGATCTGTAAAATATTAAAAACATATATCATAGGCAGCAGCATGACACTTTGCATCAAACATCTACACTAAAACATGAGTATATTTATAAGATAAGTACTTTACCAGCACCTTTACATCTTGTGTACTCCCAGACCAATCTCTCTTTGATGGACAAGGAAGAACAGGACAGAAGGAACTCTGGCGACTTTACTGCTGTTTGGTAAGTACAACTGTCAATCTTTTTTGACTTCTGTATACAATTATCAACTAAATATCAAACAGAAAGAAACTTCTGAAAATCTAAACCTATCCCTTAGCTTAAACTTAAAACTATGTCTTTTTCCAGTGTGTCCTTTCTATGTCAGGAAGCTCACATCTGTCAAACATTCTTCAGAAGCCCTTGGGCTTGTCCACCTTCCACACTGGATATTTATCCCTCCCCTCCCCAGTTTAATCTTTATAGCCTAGAAGAGGAAAAAAATATCACATAGCTCATGTGATTTCCAAAATGGAAAAAGTCATGTTTAAGACTTCTTCTTATGCAATATAAATTCTCACAAATATGACAGTTTTATGTATTTTTTCTTGACAGATCTTGACAGGTCAAACCTATGAAAAACTTATGCATATATGTCTCTATCTTATTGCATGTTATATTGTGTTAAAATACCTCAATGCAGATATGATGCATTCCTCCAGTCTTGTTTTTTTGCAGAAAGCTTGCAATGGGGCTCTCCTCTCCTAAAGGATGTAGAAGTTCCAGCTTGGTATTTCCCAACTCCACGAAAACAGTGTAGACACCATGTTTGGGAAGAGCAACAGTCTCGCTCACCTGTGCTCCTAACACATCTTTATACAAGGATTGAGCTTTCTCCAAATCAGGTACTGCAATCGCTACATGATTAAGTCGGCCCAGTTTCCACAAACAGCTTGGAATGTTTTGAGAACAGGAACTGGATAGTAATAGAGTTCGTGATGTGGTAGCTGAAGTCTGTAATCTGGTAAGAAGTCCTGAAAAAAAGTGAACAGCACAGATGCAGTGTTTTTGACAAAGTATTGCTATCTGCTCTATCCCCTTTCTGCTCTATCCCCTCTCAATAACTCCTATGTCATAAGCACACCAGTGTGCAAAGCTGAGACCAAGGACAGAGTTATACTGTAGTACTAACAGTTCAATTAAATTTTTTTTCAGGGACTGAAATTATTCAGAAGTATAAAAAACAAAACTAAAACCAAACACAAATTTGGTGTAAATGCTTACACATGCCTGTTAAAAAGAGGAATACATGGCCAAATGTAATGTTCAACTATATAATGTACTTAAAAGTTACTTCTGGTTTCTTCAGAGCTTCTTACAAAATAGAGAAAGAAATGATGTATACCTATTCATCTACAGATCATAACAAATAAGTAAGAAAACCTAGACAAAACCTTGGACAGAAGTGGTACTGCAAGATCCAGAAGGTAAAGAAAGGACTTCAGCTCCCAGCTGTCAGAACTAATTCTAGCAAGGAAAGAAATGTCTTGTTGCAGCTGAAGCTTAAGGAATCAAAAAATCTCACTATTTCTTACTTTCTCAGATGATTAAGTCATTTGACCTTCTTACCTTTCACATGCCATACAGGTCTTATTTCACTGATCTGTTTCAAGATGCTGAGAAATATTTCAGTTCTAAGTACTGTGAACAATATTATGGCCAACTGATCAATAATAATTTTGAAGATCATCCTTAAAGGTTAAAATCATAATAGCCTTTTAAATGTAACAAGTGTCACTGACTACAGAATGACTTACAGAAGGAAAAGAATATGATTTGATTCATGATAAATGAAAACCTAATTATAATATTGGATGACCATAAGACACAAAGATAAGGGCTAACATAGACAAAAGATGGAGAAGTTATGGAGAAACTCAGTGTCATGAAAAACTGCTTAGATATTTTCAGAACTCTTCACTGACTGCTCTGACAAGGCAGTACTGAACTCTGCACTATGTGTCAAATTGCCGTGTTGCTTACAAATAGTTATAGGGTTCCTTGTTTAAAAAAAAAAAAAAAACACTGAGAAAAGGATATAAAATGAGGATACTTACAAATTAATTACATTAAAAATGAATCTGAGTCTAGAATGTAGAGAGGTTAGGGGAGAAATTGTCATCATATCAGTTGTTTCTAGCACCAGAATTAGAATTAGACGAAGGGCTATATTCAAAAAACCTGCATTTTTATTTCATGCTGGTTTGCTTTAGGCCATGTCAGAGTTCACAGTGCCTCAAAGCCAAGCTAGAGGCATCTCAGCATTTTTGGAAGTCTTTGAGTCATTCTTAGCTTTAAAGTCACAAATGTGCTATTTTGCTACGAGATTGTGCCAAACATGCAATGAGATTCTGATGCTTTGCCAATACAGTGAGGATAGCTGGGCTTGCATTTTCCCAGGCTCTTTGTACTCTGTAAAGTTAGTAGTAATTGTAAGATTATTAGTAGCTGTAATTAAGCTGGTAGCTTCACTGAATGAAAATGGGAACTACCATTTCACAGGAATTCAAGACTCCACAACTATTAGTTAAGTTTTCTTCACAAAGACAACTAATGCAGTCCTTGAATTTAAAGCTTTCTGAGCACTGTGCTTATGAAGGAAGAAGTGTTTGTGTGTGTTTGAGACTTAAAACTGCAATGTACATACTTCCAAAAACTTAGTACCACAAAAGTAAGTCTCTTCAGAATTTTTTGAGAATACTAAATCAACATCCTACTTTAAGTATTTCCAGAAACTTGCCCAGTTCTGCAAGTGACTGCCCTGGAGTATTTTTTGTCAGCCTTCACACAGTACATCCTTTCATCTCCTTCATTACAGACGAAGTTCTACAAAATCATTTTTCACTGGTTACCTTTAGGCTATCATAATGGCATAGTAAAACAGTATTTCCAAGTATTTGTCAACTTTTTATTTTTCTGAAAAAACTTTTCAAAGTACTTTTCAATGATAAAAAATAATACCCTAGTAACTTCTACACAGAAATATCCTGATTCAGTTCTTGCTGAAGCAAGAGATTCTCTTCCACCTACAGGTCAGTATTCTCCAAAACACAAATATCCTTTGAAAGATAAGAATCACTTACTATATAATTTGTTGTGTTCCCTAGAGCCTTTTATTGTTTCATTCCTTCCAAATATTGACAGACCACAGTTCAGTGGAAATGACTACTAGTACAGATTTTTCAAACAATCTGTATGGATGGGAAAGGCTAGGATTTTTCCCTTCTTTTTTTACATCTCCCATCTGTAATTCTTGCTGTACTTCACATAGGGTGTATGACTACATACCTATTATATTTTAATTTGCATTTTGTAAATCAACAGAAATTAGAGATGCAGACTGTTACTCAGTTATTACTGAAGCAATAGCTAAAAGAATAGAAAATGCTACTTCTGTTGTGTTCTGCCTAAGAAATGTTTGATTCTTGTGGTGTGATATCTGGAAAGATAATAGAATGAAAAAGTGAAGTATATTTCTAGAATTCTCATAAAGTCAAAGATACTTAAATGCCCACCCATATGACAATATTATTTTCTCTTCTCACTTAATTATGGATTGGGTGGTAGAACTCTATATATTTTTCCTCTGAGTATGTAGAGGCAGTGGACTTTTCTGCAGGTTTGGTGGGTTTTTTTTCTTTATTCTAGAAGTCTTGTGAATTTACCCTAGCTCTAGTCATATGTATACAGAGCTTTGAATTTAAACCCATAATTACCAGTATGAATTGTCTGAGATTAAACAAAACCCATTTTTCTTGTATTATACAGATTAGTAACATTATTAGTAAAATTTACTTAAAAATTACCTAAATTTACTTAAAATTTAGTAAAAGTTACTTAAAATTTTCATCATCTTCTAATCCAATAACCAAAAGATGACCCTGCAGTGAAAAAGAAAGCTTTTTGGAAAATTTCAGACTGAAACCCCATCACTTCCATGTTTCAGGAAAGAAACATATTTGTGCATATATCAAAAACTATTCCTATTAACTGTTGTGGCTAAATTCTTCAATGACAAAAGTATTTCTCAACTGACTTACAGAATTATTCAAGTAATTCTTAACTTTCTCCAGTGTTAAAAAAAACAACTTTCTCTGCTTCTTTTGAAGCAAGTGGATATTCTGACTAACGCATCTATCCAAGTATCTGCCCTGCTTCAAACGCTTGCATATGCCGACTAAATTCACACATGCAGTGGCTTCTCCAGGTGTATGCATCATTTGCCCTACTTGTAGGGTTTTTTTAAGAACTTATTTTTCAAACACTGACAGCCAAATCTGAATTTGTCCTTTAAAGAAGATTCATCTGACCCTACTCTCTTACGCGATTGCTGGCTTCCTAGTCTCAGTGATAAAGCAGAATCTATGTCACCTTCTTCAGCTTCATTTGAAATATATTTTTAAATTTATTTATTTGGGCTTTATTCTATTAATGGTTCACTGGTCTACTAGTATTATGCACATCGGAGTTTAAACATGCACAGTTGTACCAGTGGAGGCTTACATTCTATAACAGAGCAATTATGAATGTGAAGTAACAAATCTGAAGTACCGCATAAAATAAGATCCTCTTCCTTCAAATTTTTATTCATAGGCTTGTTGCTCCTTATGCGGGGCAGTGATCATTGGCTAAGTCATCAAACACAAGCCGAATCCAACTGAATTCAGTCATGTTCTCTATGGGGAGGTTATACAACTGTGGGTCACAGTAAGGAGAACCTTGTCACTGGGCACTGCTCTGCTGTCAACCACCTGAAGTTGAGAGAAATTGCCAAGAATGGAGAGGATGTTACAGTCACAAGGAATCTGGTATATGGAGGCTGTCTGCCCATTCTTAAATCCCAACAATTTCAAGGTGATGTTAGCATTTTGGAAACTTGGCCAGCCAACAAGGCTTAGGACATCCAAAGTGATGCTTTGCTCTGTGCAGAAGATGGGTTTTGGGAATTAGATGGGCTCTATAGTTCCTAGAAATTGAGCATCACTTTACTGCAGCTCTGGTTTCTTCCATCAAAGTGCAATTGCACAAAGGTGTTTTTATTCCTGGTATCCCACAGATCGATCACTGAAGCACTGACTCTCTTTATTCACTTTTCTCTGGAAGTCTACTGAGTGAAATGGTGTGGTTTAGATACAGTTAGTTTAACCTGCCCTTACTATTAAGACAGCTAACAGTCCAGATAATTATAATGAACAGGAAATGATTCTGCATTTGACCTCCAGGTTGTACCTTAAAAAAGACAAGCTGTTCCTTGTGGCTCAAGTATTAAGCTTGGAGTTTGCCGCATAACCTATTCTAAGCCTGAGAATGCCCGTTGTTAACGTGTCTGTCATCTGGATCATGAGGGCTTGTTTTCACTTATAAAAGCAGTTCTGGTTTGTCGCGGCCTGTAAGGCTGTCACCGGGAGCCTCGGACCCGCTCCCGCACCGCACGGCAGGCACGGGCGGCGCGGTCCCGCCCTGACGGCCCGCAAGGCCCCCGCGCGAAGCGGGCTGCCCGCCACCGCGGGCCAGACCTCCCAGGCCGGAGCGGGCACCGAGACCCGCGGCCGCCCGTCACTGGCCCCGCCGCCCGCCCCGGCCCGCCCGGCGCCCACGTTACCGGCCACCGCGCGCCCCAGGGAGGCCGCCATCTCACCGCTCGCACTGGGCTCGGCCGCGGCGGGCGGGGCCTTCTCCGGGGGAGCGGCCGCCTTCCACCGTCACCACAGCAGCGGCCACCGCCTCCCGGCCGCGCGGCTCTGGAAGCACGCCGGAGCAGCGGCCTCTTCGGCGCTGTGCTTACAGGACCGGCGCCACCGGAGCGTCTTGGTCCGGGGCACCGGCAGCGGCAATGGCAGTGTCAGGGAGAGGGGCTCGTTAGCCCTCGCTGGGCTGGAGGCCTTAGCTGCCCGGTTCTTTCGCGGGAGAAGAGGGCTCCCTCGAGCGCCCATTGCCAGGCAGCGTGCGGTCTGAGTGCGGGCAGGCGGCTGTGCAGGGATCCGCAGGCTTTTACTGCGCTGAAGTGCGAGAGAGGCCAGCGATAGCAAGGGACACCTGTAGAGAGATTAAGTTATCTGACTAAAGCACTTGTGCAAAAGAGATTCGGGACAATGAGCAGGCTGTCTTCTGATGCTGCATCCCTGTCGTGTCAGGGGTATAGGGCATGGCAGGTGCTATGGTACATACAGAATGCATAACCAGCTTGTGCCATTTCAAATCTGATATAATTAAAACTGCAGATCAAAGTCAGTAGTCAAAATGGGTATTTAAAAGTTCCAAGATAAGATGCTTTTTGCTTCCAACCCAGGTTGTAAAGTGTCAGATATGCTTATGCTGATCAGAGAAGCTCTGGTGCAGGTCGCACTCAGGCCTCTGCTGGCTGAGCACTGCTCCACACAAAGGCTTTTTGGGGGTGCAAAGTGCCAGTGACAAGGCACACAGAAGTTGCATAGCAGGGCTTTGTTTTCCTTATGCTGAAAAGGCTTCTGCCGTTGGTAGGAAGGAAACATGAAATCAGCAGAGGAACGGCAGAGGCAGTCACAAGAACAAAGTTAAGAGGCCAGCCACAGTTTTGGATCGAGGTACCGAATGGCTGTGGATGGCTGGGGCCAGGAGCAGCAGGGTAAATGCAGACGCGTGCAGCCCCTGTCGGTGTGTTTTGCAGCATGGAAGAGGAATGGAATGGGTTGTCTCCCCCAGCTGCAGCTTCCTCACAAGAGTCTGTGGGTGCAGTGCTTAATTTGACTTCACAAAATAAACTTTGAGGAAGCTATGCGATATAAAGTAACAAAGCACTTGAACACTGGGCAGTGCTAGGAAGTGAATGGAATAGGCATGTGAATGGGTGCCCAGCTAGCTGGGAGCTTGCACACACAGGTAACGTCGGGCATTTTGCTCACAGAATCAGCTGGAAATGTGTGGTTCCAAAATAGCCCTTCTATCTAGGTCAGAGAGACAACTGCAAAGATGACTGTAGCGGTACTATATTTAGAGGAGTGTTTCCAGTGCTGATGAACATCCCAATCCAGAGCAGTATCGCACTCTTCCAAGGCGAGGAAGCAGCAGCCATCGGTAAATGACTGCAGCACCCTGCTGGCTGTTCAGTGCGAAGGCGAGCAGGAGCGCCGAAAGCAGCGGGTGTGACACGAGCAAGCGAGGGGGCTCTGTGGCTGTGGCAGCAGCAGCAGCAGCAGCAGCACGGGCGGGGAGCCGAGCCGGAACTCTGGTGTGCGGAACCTCGGTGCTGGCCGCGGGACTCGTGCGGAGCGCACAGCCCGCGCCCCAGGGGGCGGTGCCGCCAGGTTGTTCCATGCGCCTCGGCGGGCGGGAAGATGGCGGCAGTGAAGGGGCTGGAGACGTGCCTCAGGGTGGCGGGCGCCGCCGCGGCGCGCCCCGAACGCTTCCTCAGGTACTGCGGGATGCAGCCTTGCAGCGGCCGAGAGCCGAACCGTGCGTGCGCGGGGGCTGCTCCGCCATGTGTGCGGGACTCGGCGGTCTGCGGGAGGCCGCGTAACCGCCGGCGGCCACCCCGGGGCCGCGGAGGTGTTAACAGCGGCGAGGCCTGCGGGGTCCGTCCTTCAGCGTTCGGGAGCTGGGAGACGGAGGTGTGGGTTTTACGGGCTATGCTGAAGCATGGGTGGTTTTAGAGAAGAAAATTACTTCCCAGCGTCTTGGATAGGGAATTGTCTTTTTAAAGTCAAGGGACCGTATCGTGGGTGTCTGAAGTGTCTAACGCTATACGATTTACTTCCCCAAGTTCAAGATACAGTAAGATACGACTGCGTAGAAGGGTGGAATATTCTTTTCAGTTGCTACTTTATACACTAATCGTAATGAAGCTGTAATGAAATTATAATTGTTTTATTTCAAGGAATGTTTACTAGTAGTACTCCGAAGAAATGTGTAGAAGGTAAGCATCAGCAGTAATTGTTGAAAGGTATTATTGTGGAACGCCAAAATACCTAAGCATATAAAAGTTGCAGCATGACTATGTGATTAACTTAATAGAAAATGCAAAATGAATGAAAGCTAGTAAATTCTGCAAAATAGAAAATAAAAATTTAATACTAACTTGCCCTTTTAAAAGCTCTGTTAATTTTTTTTTCTACTTTAGTGTGCAAGATGGATTGTCTTCTGACTTCAGAGCATTAACAAAGATTCTCTATGACTTGAATAAAGCTCTGGGAAGTAATATAGTTCGTGGGGGTCCTCTAAAAGAGCTGGTGATAGAAAACTTTGATGAAGAACAGATTTGGCAGCAGCTAGAGCTCCAGAACAATGAAGTTCTCGATTTCTTCAAGAAGTCCATTGCAAGGGATGCCAAGGATGAAGGTCTTTGCCTTCTCTCAGATCAGGAAGAGAATGACTCCGATGCAGAGACCAGCAGCGACAGGGAGTTTGAAGACACCGTAATGGATGCAGAAACTGAACAGAAGAATACAAAAGATAAAACTAAAGCTAAAGGAAAGCAGAGTAAACTCAAAGAAAGCAAAATGCAGAAATGCAGTGATGAGGATTCTGATCTTGACTTTGATATTGAGGCACTGGAGCAAGAAACTAAAACAGCCAAGGAGACCACATTAAAAAAAATGGGAAGAAAATCTATAGTGGATGACAAGTTTTTCAAGCTGGCTGAGATGGAAGCTTTTTTAGAACACGCAGAGAAGGAAAGCAGGGAGGAAGAAGATGATATTAATTATTTTGAAGACATCATCTCAGATGATGAGGAAGAAGAATCTGAAGAAGCTACAGTCAAAGTAAGAATATCAGCAAATTAACTTTCTGATACCCATTTTCCTTTAAATCAAAACTTGGTATTTGTTAGGATGACTATAAATTTTTGAACTTTGAGTAGAAAATTCCAAGTTAACATTGATTAGATGACTAATGGAAGCTTCAGAAGCTTCATTTTATTTAACATGAATACCTGGTGACAAAATGTCCTAGTATAGAAGAAGATACTCTTTAGATCAGTCTCATGTTTTTAGATGAATAAAGGAAGAGATAGTATAGTATGTCACAAGAAATAAACGACCTTGCAGAATTGCAGAATAGGTAACCCAGCAAATTAAAAAGATGTGTCACTCAGCACTGACATCTAGTATCTGGAGATCTCTAAGGTGACTGGTTTTGTAACTGATTTAAGTTTCCTAGCACTTGTTTTGAAAATAAATCTTTTATTATTTAATGTTACCACACATTTCCACTAGCAAGTAAGAGCTATGCCCAAGGTACAATGGAACATGTACGCATTCTGACAAGTAGTTGGCAAATCTACTGCTCTTTGACTTCTGTATATGTTGCAATTAGAAATGAATTTCAGTGGTAGAATATTTTAAATACTTATACAAGAGATTAGCTTTACTTAAGATGCCTTAACACAGGTTAATATTTCACTAAAATGTATTACTCTTACACAGGTAGTGCTATTCCCCACTTGTTAAAGACTTTAATCCTTTAAGACAGGATACCGTTAGACTTTTGTCAGTCTTAACAGTTCTTGTTTGTTTTGTTTTCCCTTTTCCCTTCTTAGCCAGTTAAATGTTCTAGAGACTTGACATATGAAGATTTCTTTGATCCGGTCAATGACGATTTAGTAGCTAATGATGTTGAAGATGATCAGGAAGAGGAAGGGGACAGTGCTATTGAAGAGCAGAATGAAGAAAACATGTCTGAGTAAGTATATGCATTATTTGCAGTTAAGAACATCCTTGTAATTGTACACTGAAATAAAGCAGAAAATGAAGTGTGATCACAGGCTTACTTTGGTCATGGTTTGCCATTCTCTGTTACTTGTTGCATGGTCATGATTTGCATTGTCATCTGATTTAAAAAGTAGTTCATTTGCTTATCTTTTGAGCATTGTTTCTTCACATTTATTTGAATAGGTCATTTAATAGCTGTAACTTCAGTTCTTGAAAGTTGTTTTTAATATATAGAAATTTTCCTAATGTCTCCTGCCTTTGTATTTCTTATGTGTGCATCAGTTTAACAGGTAAACTTCTAATGGCTGAAATAACTTCATGTAAAAAATTATAGAGGCTTTTCAACCTTTATTTTATATTAAATTCTGATATTACAGGGCTGAGGATATGAATGAAATGATGGTGGAGAATATGAGAAGTAAAGAAGCTTCCAAAAAAGTTACTTTTAGTTTGCCAGATGACAGTGAAACAGAAGATATTACTGATATGCAGTTAGAGAAGGGCAGCAATCCCAGTGAAATAAAGTCATCTTTTGAGAAGAGACAGGAAAAGGTAATTGTTTCCTTTATTTTGCTAATATTTCAAAACTGGCCAATTTTTTATTTTTATTTTTTCTTATTGATCATGTAGTGTGTTCAGTCTCTGGCAAATATGAAGAGGCTATTCACAAATTAAGGGAAAAAAAAAAGTGGCTTCTCTATACCAGATATAGATGCAACCGTGTGTTCCCTATCCTGATGTGAGGAGGAGTTAAAGTACCTGAAATAACTATTAAGTTCCTGCCTTAAGTTTAGTTGAGAGCTTTGTGTTTTAAACTTCTTAGGAAATTATGTTTTTCAGATGAGCAAAAAAATAAAAAGTTTAGAAGACGAGTTGTTAGAGGAGAAACCTTGGCAGCTTAAAGGAGAAGTGACTGGACAAAAACGACCTGAAAACAGTCTTTTGGAGGAAACGGTACTTTTTGACCATGCAGTCCGAATGGGTAAGTACTGAGTAAGGGCTTTCCTGAAAGTGTGTTGCATGCTGTGTTGGGTTTTCTTGAAACCCTCTGACTTTGCTGAAAACATTTGTGACTCAGGGACTCAAGTGCAGGATAACAAAACACTAAATTAAACCTCTTGGTGTGTTTTTGAGGTTGTGCATTTTTGTGGTGAAACTGTAATATTTTTTATTTGTTTTTAACTGAACAGAACATTTGTTAATTCAGTGGCAGATTTAGTAATTTAGAAGCCTTGCATAATATTAGTCTCTTCAGGATAGAGGAAAACATTACTTACTTTGCCTTCAGTTGCCACATTTTTGTGAAGGCTTTACTTTCTGTTGCTTATGCTTTGTGGAACAAAAAGTATTTCTTGCTGGAGAAACATTAATCTTCAAATACTTCTCTTTCTCCTCTCAGCACCTGTGATCACGGAAGAAACTACTTTTCAGCTTGAAGATATCATTAAACAGAGAATATTGGATGAGGTTAGTATTTTCCTACTTGGTTTCTCCCTATTTTGTTCACAGATTGATTCACAGGGCACATCTGAAGCATGAGTTTGAAGCTCTTAAACTGTTAGGTGTTATCTTAATTTCTGCAACTAGTTGTTATATTTTTTTTTCCGTATTTCTAAGGAGCTCTGTTTTTACTTGTCTGTTACATGCTTGGATTTGACGTGCTTCATTAAAAATGAGTGTTTGCACATAAAACTGTGAGGAGTTTATTTGGAATATAGTCAGTCTGTAAATTTTGTCTTTTACCTTAACTGTCATGCTCCGAGCATTCTGAACACTAACCCAAACTCCATTGTTTACTTAATTTTTCTTAAAAGCTACTGATAGAAGATTTGTATCCCACAGCTTGTTGAGGCCTGTTAGTTAAACAGGAAAAAAAAAGAAGGTACATATGGGTGAGAGTATTTAAGAACATGACGCATTCATTATTTCTTACACAATTTTTACCCCAGTGCCCTAAAGAAAAGTACACAAGCTAGAGCTGTCTGAGCTGTCTGTTTGGTTTTTTTTTTCCCTTCAAATGAAAGTGTGATACAGTGTGTTCCTGGGAAGCTACATGCATAAACTAGTTGATATGTCACATAAGTAATATGAAAAATGTTCTAAATAAGCTGTAGCACCTGTTATTTGACTGTAGTTGCATAATTTTCTCAGGCATGGGATGATGTAGTACCAAAAGAAAAACCAAAAGAGGATGCTTTTGAATACAAGAAACGAATCACTTTGGATGCTGAAAAGAGTAAACTGAGTCTCGCTGAGATCTATGAGCAAGAATACATGAAACTTCACCAGGTAACATAAGCAGTGTCTTTCCTTTTGATTTGAAGTTCAGCTTTGTGGAAGCACTTCAATCTTTCTCTGAGTGTTCACCAGTAAAATTGTTCTGCATTGTATATTGTGTTGTTAGCCGTCTTACTCAAGTAAAATAGCTTTATGAATGACATTGCAGTAATATTGCGTTATTAATGCAGCAAAAGACTGAAGAGGAGGAAAATCCTGAACACAAAGAAATTCAGGAAATGATGGATTCACTCTTTCAGAAGCTGGATGCACTTTGTAACTTCCACTTCACACCCAAACCTGTAAGTACATAAGTTTCATAAAGTTGGGTTCCCCCACTTCGAGATGGGATACTTTAAATAAATAAAGGGAAACGGAAAGTAAAATAAACACTGAGTGTTACTGTGGTTGTTTTTATTTCATATTAAATGTGCTGTAATTGCCTCTAAATAAATGCAGATATATAGTATCTTCAGTTAGCTGTAAGCTGCTGTGAGATGGTGTTCTGAGTTCTGAATATGTTTCCTTATTTCTAGCCTGTGCCAGAAGTTAAAATAGTTTCAAACCTTCCAGCTGTAAGTATGGAAGAAGTGGCACCTGTTGCTGTTAGTGATGCTGCTCTCTTAGCACCAGAGGAGATCAAGGTAAATATCAATAAAAATCACTTAAGAACTGGGAGGGGATCTCTGTTGTTGGTAGAAAGGTGTACTGGCTGTCAGATCAGGGGGAGGAATCTGCCCCCTTTCAGCCTGGGTTCCTCACCTGTGGAACTTCCAGCTTTGCATTTTAGTGGTGGTTGGGGTTTTCTTTGGGGGGATGTATTTTGTTGCAGGGTTTTTTGGTTTGATTTGTTTTTTGATCACTGGAAGGAGGGGAAAGCGTTAATTTTGTCTACCCTAGGCCATAATATACCATCAGCTAGGTTGAAAATACCTTTAAGATCATTGTGTTTTTGTTCTTGACTATTACATGATGATAATTATTTTCTCACATGTATATAGGTATTTGAAAGGGAAAGCTAAATAACGATAGGGAGGAGTAACTGGCATGTCTTTGATCAATTGTATAACTCACTTCCCAACTTTTGCTGGTTTTTGGCCTTTACCTCAATGCAGCATTGCCCTGAGCTGGCTGAATGCTTGAAATAATGGAAAACTAAGATTTGAGTATTGCGAAGTGAGTCTTTTCTTTGCGCACTTACGGATCTGGAGATCTTCCTCTCTTTAGGAAAAGAACAAAGCTGGTGATGTAAAAACAAATGCAGAAAAGACTCCCACAGACAAAAAACGAGAACGAAGAAAGAAGAAGCTTCGTAAACGTATGAAGCAAAGAGAAAAGGAGAAACGTCAAAAGCTTCTTGAAAAGATGAAACCAGAACAAGGCACAAAACTTAGCAAAAAAGCTGCTGCAGCAACATTAAAAAGGCTGACAAAAGAAGGCAAAGTCTCTCTGCTCAAGGTAGGGCTCTCCTAAGCAGTCCTGTATAACTTGGGGCTTTCCCAGCTAAACAATATTAAAATCCCAAGGATTGATAATATTTAGTTAGAGAAAGGGAAAAGGGAACTTTGTGATAAAGAATTACGAAGTTCAGGGTTTCTTTCCTTCCCATCCCTTGTGGCACAACTACATCTCCTAATCTCTCTCCATTGCCTCAAAAATTCTTGTAGACAGGTGGTATTTGCTTACTACTCAAACCTTGGTGGTAATCTCACCAGATCTTGGTTTGCATATACAGTATCCATAGTGTACATGCAAACTATACTATAAAACATTAAAATTGTGTACTGCCTATGATGCCTTTATAAATTATTGTTTTAATTCTGAAATTTTAAGGTATTAGAAACTAATAGGAAAAATAACTTGATTACTGCTAGAATATTCTTGCATACTTCTAGAAAGTGCTTACTTTTCAAAAGGAGAGTGTAACACGAAATGCAGATATGTTGTAGCTCATGTTGTGCAAGGATCCATTCCTGCTGCCTGTTCTTAACCTACCATGCTAACTGCTCATTAGAAAGGGAGCTCTTTATTTCTTTAGATGGCAGGAGTGGCATAAGAAAGCAGTGAAAAACATCCTTTGAAAAACAATTATCAGATTATTTTTTTTAAGTTGAATACCATTACATGTGAGTAAGTAGTATAATGATACTGTTTGTAAATGTGGTGTTATAATGAATGTATTGTTTGTTGATAGGATGAAGGTAAAGACAAGGTCTTGAAATCATCCCAGGCCTTCTTCTCTCAACTGCAAGATCAAGTAAAAATGCAAATCAAAGATGCAAGCAAGTTAAAGAAGAAACAGAAGAAGCAGACAGCAACCTCTGTTCATAAACTGAAATTGTAATTTACCTTTTTATATATGTTGCATTTTGTATATATTAAAAGGTTTCTACATAAATTCTCATTTTTGAGTAGGTTTTGTTCTGTCAGTCCTCTAATGTTCTGTGAACTTCTGCAGCGTGGTAGAGACTTTTCTTTAGGTTTTACTTCTGTTTTCTAATAGAGAGGTCTGATTGTCTTTTTATTCCAGAAACAAAGCTTCTTGCCACAGCCAAACACATGTGGAACACTTGGTTGTAGAGTTTGGTTTGGGCCATAGCTTTTCTGTCTGCTGTTGTAATAGCTCTGTATCTATTGCAGGAATAACTACATTTATTGAAGAACTTAAGGTGTATCCAGGTGCTATAAATTGGAAATGATATTTTGAAATTGTGATTACCGGGAGGGAGGACATGGAAGCTTCTTACCTCTGCAGTAACTCGAGTAAGCAAACGGTGTCACAAGATGTTTCTCAGGGTGGATATATATCAGTATTTGCGCTTCCAGCTCGTGCCCCTACTTCCCGTTTCTAAAGGAGGGTGTTCACCCTTCGCTGTTCGAAGGAAACGTTGGATTTAGAGAGGGTAAGATGTCTGTTGGTGGGGCTTTCCCGACGGGCGCTACCCGGGATCCGCGCTCTGCTGCCCAGGCCTCCGGGCCGCCATCGGCGATGGATTGGCTGGGCTGGCGGCGGGGCGAGGCGTTAAGGCCTCTCGCGGCCCAGGGACGCAGTGCGGTGCGGGAGGGCGGTGCTGGGGCCGGCCGCACGTGTCGCGGCGCGGAAGGAGGGGCGGGCGGCCCGGAGGCAGCGGTAGCTGCGCCCGGAGCCCCGAGACCGCGCGCGGAGCTGCTTGCGGCGCCTCAGCCGCGGCGCCGCGCTTCGCGGGACGGGCCCGGGCCGCGTCATTCCGCGCGGGAACGCGGTTGTGAGAGCGGGCGGGTGGCGCCGGGAAGCGGTGTGGCGGTGAGCGAGCAGCACGGCAGCGTTTAGAGGAGCTGGGCGTCCTTGGGTTGAACTCCGTCTCCGCCTTCCCTGTGCATCAGTATGTGAACGCGGTGCTTAGATGGCGCGAGTGCACGGGGCGCTGCCATCTTTCAGGCCTGAGGCCTGCGGTGCTCGTAGGGCAGCCGTGGTGCTCTTGCTTGTGTGGTGGTGGGGGGGAAAGAGGCGGTTGCACTGCAGCAGTTTAGGGTCGCTGAACGTGGCCGCCTCCAGGGTTTGGGTTCTTCAGCGTTCATCTGCGTTGCGTTTGGTACCTCAAAAAATCCTGCATTCCTTATTTTTTTTTTTTGTTTTGTTATTGTTGAAGGCACGTCAGAGGATTACAGGTGGAGAATGCGAAGCCAAGTAAAGGCTTAGAATAAGGAAATATGGCCTGAATGAAGTTGCCTCTGCCTTCTAAAGGCTTTGAAGTTTTGTCATGGCAGAAGCTGGGTCTTCAGGACTTAAAAGGCCTGGAACAAGTTTGTCACTTGGTAAAAATAAAAGGAAAAGAGGAACAACAAAAAAAGTGGAAGGTAAAGGAACACCATCTATACCTCCAGCATCCTCCTCTATTATTTCCCTTTTTAACAATGCTCCCCCTGCCAAAATTACCTGTTCCATGTGTGGGCAAGTGGTGCCGATGTACAGAATTAATGAGCACATGGATGAAACATGTCAGAGAAATCATGGCAAGACTGGTGTCAATGATTCAACACTCAGCTCTGTTAGGAATGGGAGCCCCCCAGCTGCAAATGTGAACAATAATTCCAGCTTGTACTTTTCAGAAAACCCCTTAAATCTAGAAACAAGTCCTTCCAAAAGCAGTTCATTGAAAACAGAAGCAAGTACAGCACAAGTAAGTCCTTATTTTAGCAATAGTAGTTCACTTTGTAGTGTCAACAGTGAACCACAGGCTGAAATAGTTAGAATAGTCTCTTTGGGAAGCTTGTCATCTAAACTGTCCAGAAGACGTATCCAGGGAGGAAAACAGATCACGTATAAAGAGATCAACTCTTCACCTCCAGCGGTTCACAGTATGTGCAAAAGTGCTGCAGCACAGAATAGTGATGATGAGATTTATGCTGGGAATAGTTCTCAGAAAGAAAATCAACTTGCTCAGACAGAGCACCAGGAACAAAATGTATCAAAGGAACCCAAATTACAAGAAATAAACAAATATAATGGAGAAGATCTTGTGGATATTGTTGAGGTATCATCACCAGCTGCTAACATTAACGGTCAAAGGTTACCTGTTGGTACAGGGAGCACCAAAACAGAAAGGTCTGAAGGTGTGATACATACTCCTGACAAATTCGAAACACATCCAGCTATTTCTACTTCAGCAGAGCTGCTCAGTAGTTTGGAAGTCAAGACTCAGCCTCATACTCAGCATATTCCTTCTTCCAAGAAGGAAGTGAACTCTGGTACACAAAATTGCTTTAGCAGAGGTGATAAACACGTACTTCCTGTGGAAGTTCATGAAGACTTTAAGAATGAGATTAATAATACTTTGTCAGAAACTGTGAAAGAGGTAGAATTTCAAAATTCCATTGGGGACATTTTAGACCAGATAAATGACATTTGCTCTTCTGGTCACCCATATTACCTCCAGAATTTTTTAGTGGTGCTGCGAGCAGTCTTGGAGAACGAAGATGATGTCAGACTGTTTGATGACCAAGATATGAACATTATAACCAAGTTCTGCAAGTTATCAGGTATGGTTTTTTACTGTTCTGTTTTTTAGAATCTTAAGTCAGCTTCCTGCTTCATTTAAACATGTTTCCAAGGAAGAAATCCCATAGCACAGAAAAAGAATATCAGTTAACACCAAGCTTTCAACGATTAATACATTACGAGAATTCTACAAAGTGGGGTTATGAAGAGGCCTGTGCTGGATACATAGACCTTGGAAAAAAAAATTTGAAGTGGCATTTGTGAACTTTGCTTCAGCACATTCACAGATATTTATTGTGCTTGGTGTGGATCCATGGTTACCTGTATGATTATTATCCAGTGTTTAGAATGCTAGTTATTAACAGTAATTTTCTTGTATGTAGCTTAGTACATAACTTTCCTTAGTTTCAGTAGGAGCCAGAATGTTGGCGTTTTAAGCCATCCATATTTACATAAGAAAGCAAACGTGGCAACCCTATATTCATAAGTTAACAGTAAAAGCATGGAAAAAGTGATGCAAGGTAAAACTAACCCTCCAAGTTCTCTGTATAACTTGTCTTAAACTGTAATTAAGAGTAGTTTCACCAGCACTTGTGCTTGCAAACTTTGAGCATCACAATAAGCTTATAACAACTTCCACAGGAAAAACTGTATTTGGAATTATTGCAGACATAACCATTTATATATTGTTTTAAGCCACTATAGCAGTATACAGCTTCCTGACAAAGAATTTTTAGGTACATGTTCATACAAGCTCAGTTTATGCATCTGAGCTGGATATGCAAAAGTGACAGTTGCATACATTCCTGCTGGTAAAAATATTCAGCAGCAGGCTGCACTTATTAATGTGCTCATTCAGTCTGGCTTAATTAGCAGGCTGTAAAGTTTAGCACACGTTTCCCTGTATGAAACTTACTTTGGTGTTTTTCCTCTCTGTAAATTATATTTTTTCTGTATTAGAGTACAACAATCTTTAGACTCTCCCCATTGCAAAGTGGAAAAAAACTGTTCTAGCCATTCGGAGTGCTTAGTCCCTTAATGTTTGTTTCTATGATTATTTAAGTTCCAACTGGTATTGTGGACTTATACCACAATGCATTACAAAAGAGACTAGCAAGGTCATGTCTTGTTATTAGCAATTGTGTGAAACTTTTCCAAGGCCAATAGAAGGCTTTCAGTAAATGTTTTCCTAATAACTTACATAGATATGGAGAATAATAGAATGAAGCTAGGTATATGACATCACAAGATTTTTTAATACAGGATACAGAATGACAAAAATGGAGAAGCATTGGCTTGAGCTTTTTTGGGAAGAAATGTAACTGTGATAAGTAATTCCTTAAAAAATTGAGTCAGTACATATCTGTTTCTTTAGGAGGTACTTAAAGTGGGGGGAACAACAACTTCAGAATCTAAAACTTCTTCCAAAGTTAAACAGCTTGAAAAGACCAGGTGAACATTAAGTTGCCCTAGTTGAAAAGTTAGCTGGCTCAAACCACCATAAGAGATGGTTGCTAAAAAGGTTAAGAAACTCCAGAGGAGGAAGCAAGGGCTCTGAACTCGCACAGGTATTTCTGCAGTGGTTACCTGATCACAATTAAGCTATTGCAGATTAAATTGTAATAATTACAATTACCCAATAACACCAAATATTTGAAAAATTAAAGAATACTACTAGTGTAAGATACTAATAAATTGTGATCTCATCTTGGTTACAATATTCTTATAACAGGACTGTGTTTGTCAGGGAGCAGCAAGAACAGACTGTTCTGCACAGGAAGACGGGGCAGGAACCAAAGGGGACAGCAGGACAGGCAGGGGCCACATCCTCATCTCACCTGCAGGGGTACAAGCTCACACTGCTCAAAGAAGAGGAGCAAAAGGAGTCCAGTACTGCATTTAGCTGTGCTCCAGTGGTGGCAGGTCTTCAGGCAAGTCCATAGTGACAAGGCAGGAGTCCACTGGCACACAGTGGCAGAGCTTAGAAAATAGCCCAGGCTACCAGCCTGAGCTTAAGTACAGCTCCCCAGCAAATAGGAGGCCGTGACAAAGCCTCACCCAGCATTTCCCAGCTGCACCTTGTCAGAGCTGACATTGAACACAGGCAGCCAAACCTGAGTGTTTGGATAGCATTGCAGAACCTATTGGTGCACTCAAGACTGTAAGAATATTACAGCAATTAACTTTCTCCAACTAAATGCATATACAGGGACATCTTGATAATGCCTTGTTTATGCTGTGATAGTTAAAACGGGAATATATAAAGAAAGAATGGAATGGAAGCAACAAAACTGTTGTTAGTGGCTCTCTGAGGCAAGCAGTAGATGTGTATTGTTTACATCCAAAGAAGATCTGGGAATAAGGTGACAGGTCATTAGTGGTTGTAGGCTTTGGCTACTTTGAGAACTACTTTGACAAGAGATGCTCAGGATACAACTTACTTATTTCCACACTCCCTTCTCTTTGTTAGTGCAGCACACCAGTGATAGAAGCTTGTTCTGTTAAAAAAAGGAAGTGCTTGGTTTCTCTTTCAGAAGTGTGATGTCAGTATACCCCTCTCACAAGAGTTCAGAATACAGAAAGAATTATTGTAGAGTGGTGCTGATTGATAAATCTATGTCTGCACTGACAGCTGGAGTCGCAAATAAAACAATCTCTCTTTGCAGGGTAGGAGAAACACAATGATCAGATAGCATTAGATCAATAGATAATGAATTCTAGACAAGTGATGGATGATTTTACCTTCAGGAAATCAGAATACTTCAAAAGCTCGGATAGATGAGTTACCTGTTCCACATTAGAAATTTCTACCTAGGCAAGTGTTGTCTTTCAGTTATCATAATACAAAAATCCTATGCGTTTTATACTATAAAGGTGCTTGAACATAGGTATTCTCCAGTATTTAATTATTTTCTGCTAAAATGTCTACCGTTCTCCAGTGAGTTTTCTCTAAAGCTTGTTATGAAACGAATGATGTTTTTAAAAGGATTGAATTTGAAGCAGTCCTTTCTTCCTGCCCAGTTTTCTCAGAAGTGGATGGCCTTTATGTTGGATGTAGGGCACTGCCAATCTTTTAAGTACTGGAAACAGTAAATCAAAATAGGGAAAAGCAGAGATGTCTCCATCAGGAGTGATCTGCAGTGCAGTGTCAGGCTTTGTATGCAAGCTGAGATCTGTCTGAACTCAGGTGTAATGGTCCGTGTTTAATGTCACTGCATGCTGCAGCTGTGGAACTGAGGTAAAAAACTGAACAAGAAAAAACAATGTAATGTTTTTCTGTTCGCTGATAATGTTTCAGCTTAGAGCAGTTTTGTCATTTCAGTGATACACCTGAACCTGTCTTAAGAAAAAAAAAAGCTAAATGCTCCACATTTTCAAAGGTAGTGTGCTGCAGACCAGCGTACTTAAGAAGCATTTAATTACTTGTGCCATGCTTTCTTATTCTATTTGTCATTACAATCTTTTTGACAGAAAGCCATACTTGCATGCCTTTACTGAATTGCAGCCCTAGTTTGGTGAGTTTATATGGGCTGAAGAAAGAATGTCCAGGTGTTCAGCCTTTTTCCTGAGTTGTAAGAAAGAAGTCATAACCCCACAGAGAAAATGACAAGCTTATGTGTCTGAATGTAATTCTGTCAGTGAATTGATCCTGGAAAAAATCTGTTAAAAAAAAAAAAAAGGCTGAAGAAGTATCTTCAAGGACAGGAGAATAATTAAATAAGCGTGTAAAAAAGTTAACTGCCATTTCTTAGATATATTTAGATCTGGGAATGTCTCAGTGTCTGTTTTTATTGATTTATTAATTCAGTTTCAGTTAAGGAGCAACAGACACAAAAAAGTAGAAGTTAATGAGGCATGAATACAGTATTCAAAAGGATGATGGATGTAGTAACAATAGCTTGGCTATTTTCAGCTAAGATTTAATGAGCTATTCTGTTGAATTTCAGCATTGTTAGTATTTTTAAAGTATTTTTAAAAGGTAGTTTAAGAGAGCATGTCCCTGATATCAAATTGATAGGATTTTTTTTTCTGTGTTTTCAGTAGATACATTAATAAAATTAAACATATTCTTCAAAAAATAAGAACCTGAATACTAAACAGGGAGGTATTCTGTGAGATAAGTGCTTTTGTTCCTCACCATCGAATAGATGGTTGTTGAATGAGTGGTAAAGAAATAAAAACCTAATTAACATCACAGTATGCAAAGTTTGAAAAATGAAGTTGTCTTTTCCTAGAAAACAAGTCATTTTTTAAAGGGAATGCATGTCCACGTACATTTTAGTGATGTTCGTTACCTACAAACTTATTGTAATAATTTTCTGCCTACAAAACTTAAAGGTTCTAATGAGCAATAATTACTTGAAAGGAAAGTTCTGTTGTTTACCAAGTCTGCTCGTAGAACATAAGCAGATTTAAAACGTGGTTTAGAGGATATCTGCACTGAAGTAATTTTTCTAGTTAAAGTAGTGAATATGCATAGTACTATATTTCAGAATTTAATTTTCTTTTTATCCTTCCCCATTTTAAATGAAATCTGCAGTTGGAGGGCAGAAGTTATATGTGAGACTTTTTCAACGCAAGCTGAACTGGTTAAAGGTGAACAAGATAGAGTATGGAGAGATAAGTGTGGATCTATCACCAATAATTGAAGAACTGGCTGAAGCCAGATTTCTGCAAACAGGTATGGCCAGCATTAATAAATTTTACAAATATTACAAATAAAATCTGCTGTTGTGTCATTTTAGATCTTGATGCATTACTGTGCCTTGAGAATTAGAGAATAAAGGTTTCAGGTAGACTTGTTACCTTAATGATAAAAGCAATTAGTGCAAATGGGGTAACAGGTAGAGGTAAATAAATCTCAGGGCTTTAAGTACAGCATTAGGCCTGACTTGCCCTCACCAGCCTTATCTCAGACCCTGACCTGCACAGCTTTTGCATGTTGGTCCAGGAGCTCTACTCGGCATCCTTCGTAACTGCCCTGAGGTATCCTGCAGGAATCTTGTCTCAGGCCTTACACACCCTGGCTGGTTAGACCTCTAACCAGTGCTGCAGCTGTTTGTTTCCAGTCTTGTCTCTTGTCTTATGTCTGGCTTGTCTCTCAGATTGCCCCTGGACCTGACTCATCATTCAGGCTTTTCAGTGGCTGCCAGTGGAATCTGCTGTCAGGACCTTTTCTCTGACCATTTATGGTGGAACTGCACCAGGGTTGGTGAGGACACTGCCAGTGCTGTGGTCACTCTTGACTCCTGGCTCATTCCCCCTTGCCCAGCAGCTCTGCTCTTGCTGCTCCCTGGCAGCACTTTTTTGGTTGTTTTTTTTTGCTTTGGGCAAAGTTTAATCATGAGGAAGACAAGTTTTTCTGAACAGCATTTTACTGTACCTTGGCAGAATTCCTTCATGTTTGATTTTGTTTTGAAGTTGCAGGGATATTTTTTCTGATTATTCCTTCACATTGGACCTATGAAGAGAATTAATTTCAAGCTGAACCAGCTAGCACCTGTAATAAATGTTTGAATAATCTTTAGACGTGAGTTTACTACTAGGTTATGTGAGTTGTTGCTTTAGTGTATATGTATAGCCCCTAATGATTATACGTGGCTCATTTTACTTTCAGAATCTGAACTGGAAGACCTGTGTGAAGGGTTGGATTTGCTTTCAGCCCCTGAGCTAAAAACATTGGCAAAGATCTTTCATTTGCCTAACACAAATGGTCAGAAACAGCAACTTGTGGGTGATTTTCTGAGTTTGGCTAAACAACGTTCAGTCTTCAGCAGGAGCCAGGCTGGTATTGGGACAGTGATTTTAAAAAGGTAACTCTTTGTAGTTAGATTTTGCAGGTGAATGTAAGTTGTGTTTCAAAAGACTCAATCCAGATGCCTTTGGAAGAGACAAACGCATTTAGTAAATTCATGAATAAAAAGGGCAGCAATAAATTTTGGTTCGCAGTGGATCAAACATAAGGGGAAATGTTTGGCTTTTTTTTTAACTATGTCATGTTTTTCAGCTGTGGGCATGGTTATCGCCAAAGTTATTCAGCGATACAGAGAAACATCTAGGATGAAACAGGGAAAGTTGTTGACTGATAAAGCAACTGATGTTTGTTTGCTGGGTGAGCTCTTTTAGTAGAATTAGAAGGGAGCAGTAACGATCACTGTGCTTGAGCTTGTACATCAGCATAAAGCCTCTTTTTCAGCAGTATTTTTAAAGCAAAAAGCTTGTTTACTTGACAAAGTGTTCTTTCTGTCATGTGAATTTTTTCACTGTGGCTGTCACAGCTGTGTTTATCAGATGCCCTTGACTTCCAGGTCTTCTGGGGTGCAGATTTCAGGTTTAAGATGTCATTCTGCCCTAATAGGAGTGATTACAGCATTACCATTCTTGATATTTGGAGTTGGATCTGTAGCTAGAACATCCACAAAAAGTCCAGGAATGTGAAGTGAATTGCCAGCGTACTAGTGCTAGAGTACAAGTCCGTTCTTGACTTACACAGTTGCCTCTCTTAGTACCTACCAAAAAGTAGCAGAATAATAGTGCATATAAACAAAGTTTGCTTCTCTAGCAGTTAGCTTGTCCGGTAGGCTGGAGAACTGGGGTCTGAACTGAGGAACTGTGAAATGCTTTCTTTACAAAATGCAGGTTGGGTAGGAAGCTGACAGATACAGTATGTGCTGCATTTGCTTCAGTAACATCATTTATCTTTCCTGTGGTGTTCTTTTTCAAATGAGAGAGATGTAAAGCTTTGTCAAGTTTTGCATAACTATGTTTATTGGACAGATATTCCCACCCTGAAGCCTATCATGCGATTCCCCACAAAATTCGTTATATTCAGAGGGGCCTAGTATTGGAAGGCAAACATTAAAATCATCCCTCCATTAAAAATTACTGTTGCATGAGTCAGCAAGGTCTTCTTATGCCAAAAGAGAGGGCTAATGCTTTAGGAATGAGATGTTCTTTGCTGTAGCAGACAGCTGAAATACTAGTTACGCACTGAGATCAGCGAAGATCCTGTTTTAAATCCCTACTGTCCTGTAGAAGAGTAACAGAAATGTTCTCTTGTATGAAAAGGCTGGATGAAGATGTGCTAATGGAGATACCCTAAAATAAGGAATCTCAAATTGTGGTCCGTAAACATCGCCCTAACAGCAAACTGCACGTTGTTGGTACTACCTGGCATAGCAATAAGAGTGGCTGCACCCAAAGAACAGATAGTTCCAATTTTATTGAGCCTGAATTTTGGCCCTTAAACTTTTATTACTTAAGATGCATTTCTTCAGCTTTTCACTAGAGGTTACATATACTAAATACTTTCTCAAGCTGCTGCTGTCAAGGAAAATCAAGTTTACGCATTAACTGGCTCAAAACCAATATTGCTCTTATACTTCATTCAGTATATTTGAATTTTTGTAAGTGATGGTAAAAACCAATTTGCTGTGATGATTTTAATTGTCCTTCCAGGGTGAAGGACCTGGCTGGAAAATCTGTCAGGGTCTGTAAAGGCCCTCGAGATGTCTTTTCTCGAATTCTGCTGCTATTTTCACTGTCTGAGTCAATGGAGGATGAAGAAGCTGGTAGCGCTGGTCAAGGACAGCTCTTCACAGTCCTTATGGTAAACATGGGGCGTATGGTATTCCCCAGTTACACTGTAAATAGGAAAACACAGGTCTTCCAGGACAGAGAAGATCTTATCAGGTAGGGGGAGCTTTGGAAGTTTGGAAAACTGTTTATTTCTAGAAAAGCTTTACTGCAGTACTTCTGTAGGCAAATAAAGATTCGTCATGCAGAACCCCAGATATAAATATGTAGAAGTGCATTTCTGCAATTATTTTAAATGCAGTTTTGTACCCAGATGGGACTCATAATTCGCAGAGGCTTACCTTTTGAACCAAAATAGCCTATGTATTTGCTTTGTGATCATCTGCTGATGAAAGTTGTTTCTTCATTTGTTGTGATGATTATTAGAATAGACCAAACAAAAATAATACATTCTCTAGTTTATAAGTAATTTGAAACATGATGTACGTGGCTGTTGTAAACCCTACTGATCCTATGAGACTAAGAATACTGGCTGCATGGTTCATTGTCTTTGGAGACTGAAAGGGTGTTTTTAAAAGATACTGTATGGAGGAATTGATTTCTTCTTTTAGCTATAAATTTTTTTTTGAGCCTATTACAGTTACTATGTTTTTTTCCTTTAGGTATGCAACTGCTGCTCATCTGTCAAATGATATAGCCACTGCAATGGTAAATGGGAACTGGGAAGAAGCTAATCATCTGTATATGTGCGCGAAAGAAACCTGGAACAAGCTGAAAAATCACCCTTCTTTGAGGTACTAAGTTGGAAACTAGTGTTCATGTGAAACTCTTAAGTGTATTTTCTTACTTTTGGTACTTTTGAGAGAGGCTCATAGACTTGTGATATTATTTAAGCCTGATAAATTTAGAAGCTTTAATGTTCTTGAAAGCTTTGAACTTCCTGGTTGTTTAGCTTTTAAGTGATGGTATGAAAAGGCTTTCTTCATAAAGCCTTGGGAATGAATTGGTAAGCATGGATAAAGCACTAAAGCATTTCTGTTCTATGTGCCAGTGCAGGAGAACAAGAGCCTTATTTTTCCCTTGTTATGGTTTCTTTTTTGGCTTTTAGACAAATAGAATAGAATAGCAATAATCAGAATTTAAAATACACTGTGAATAAAAGGATGTTGCAAATGATACGGAAAAATATACTGGGTTATTCATCTCTTCAGGCTTCCAGGTGGGTGTCATTCAGGAAATGTTACTAAAGATCTGAGAACTGAAATAATGTGTATTGTTTTTAAATGTTCTTCATCAGTTTTTCTGTCAATTATTTTGTTTTCTGGTTTAATGATACACTAAAAGTATGTTTTACTTTTAGTATGATACACTTTGGCATTATGTTCATTTTCATGGCAACTGATTAAAAATAATATTCATAGAAGGTCAGTTGGAGGCCTGTTCCATTTCACACTAAAGACATTGGAAAACCTTATTTTGATTTCAGTAAAACATTCAAAAGACTGTCTTGAAATGTAGAGGTGCCACCTCAAAAGATGTTAGTCTTCATTTTTTAGCAGAAAACTCCTGTTCTAGCCTTTTTCTTTTGTTCAGCTGTGTTTCTGAGGTTAGCCATCTGACTTACGAGAAAAGTTGGCACTAACAGAACACGGTGTAATAGGTTATTGTTTGATGTAGAACTTACTGATAATTCCACTGCTGTTGAAACCAAAATAAGCTGAGCAAATGCAGCTTGCACCTGCTACCTTAGCTAAACTATTTTCTTACCTTTGGGTTCTTGACATGGGAGCTGCGATACTCGTTGCAGTTCAATTGTAGTATATAAGGCATTTAATTCTTGTAAATCCTTTAGGTATAAGCATTCTTAGTAAGAGAATTTTAAGAGTTTAAATTGACATCATTAAATTGATCTGAGCTGCTCTTACCTTTCAGCTATCACAGAGTTTTACCTGAGTACTTGAGACATTTCACAGTTGGCTGGGTGTATACAAGAATCCTTTCTCAAGGTGTTGAAATTTTGCAGAGACTTCATATGTATAAGGTAAAGTGGTGAAGTGAATAGGAATATGTGTTTAATGTAGCATGGTTCAGCTGTTTATATTGATGATGTACCAGCTACTAGGAATAAAAAATAACTGTTACACCTGAAACCAGGACTTGTTGCCCCTGCAAAGGCAACAATTAATATTCAGGTCTTTTTCATATGCAGTAAGAAATAGGGGAAAGGACAAAAAGATTGTCTTTTTGGCAGCTAACCTTTACATTTACATAATCTAGAGTTTTTAAGATATATCCATGCACCTGAATACAGTGAGTGCTGAAGTAAAAATGGGGTTTGAATTGTGCAGAGATAAAGTTTTACAGTATCCAGTAATTAGAAGGGAGAGTGGCAAGCTAATTATGTAATGACACTGCAACTTGGTTTTCTGACTCCGTTAATAAAGATACAGTCTTGTCGCTGCAGGAAGTGGTGGAGGAGCTGCGGTCTCTTCTGTCTCAGGATGTGTATTGCACTGACAGCAGAGGGCGGTGGTGGGATCGCCTAGCTCTGAATTTACATCAGCACTTGAAGAACACTAAGAAGGTACCTTCCCAACTGCATGCTGTAAAGCTGGAGACACTGCAGTCATTGTCTGAAACAGTTCTAAAAATACTTTGTATGAGAAGAACAGAAGGGTGGGCTCTCCTAAAAATGCAGGTACTGGTAGGAATTCCAAGGTCAGGCAACCAGTTTCTCCTAAGAAGTTGAATATTGAGTTTACCTTCATCCTTGATTGGCCTGCACAGAAGTATGCTAGGGAACTATTAAAATGCTTGTATTTTGCTTTGCATTTTAATTCTGTACGTCTGTTAAGCGGAAATAATACCATAAGCTGTCAAGTGTCTGCAGTTGCCTCTTCTGCATCTTATACCCCCATGTCAAGTTTTTTTCCAATTTTGGAATTAGAAGTTGTACAAAGGAAGGGCTCATTCCTTATTTACAAACTGGGACAAAGTGCTTTCCTCAAGTCACAGAGAGTACGTCAGAACCATGATTTGAATTAATTTTTGGAGTCCATATTTAACCCCAGATTTTCTTCAGTGCAGTAGTGTATTGGTCTAAAATTTGTTTGGTATGTACATACCCAACTGATCTGGTCCTTCTGATTCCATATTATGTGCTGTTAGGGAACTGGCTTAAAAATATTAAACTAATTTACCTTAGAACCTTACTGTACCAGTGCAAATGTGAATCCAGAAGCCTGCTATTGCAAAATGTTAGTTAGAAATTCCTACATAAAAAAGTCTTATATGCTGGTTCTTACATTCACATTTTTGTGCTTCTTAAATCAGTTTTGTCTTTCGGGCTTAGTAAGGACAGATAGATGTGCATAGGTCTTTCTAAATAATTGCTTGTTACGTTGCTCTTTGCTAGGCCATTGACTGCATCAGAAATGGCCTGGCAGACCCGTTTGTACGTACTGGGCATCGGCTGTCTCTCTACCAGCGGGGCCTAAGAATCAGAGACTCACCAAGCTGCAAGCAGTTCAGATGCCTGCTCCATGATCTGCCAGCCATACCCGTGCAGGATGTGACACACGTAAGTGCAGTTGCTGGTAGTTTCTAAGAAATAACAATTCATGAGGTCTTTTTTTCTCCTGACAGTAAAAAATTATCTGAGAGACTGTTGTTAACGTGCTGTGTACCAGTCTCTGACTTATTTGTGCTGCAGGAAAATGAATACAAATGTGTTTCTAAAACAAAAGCCTCTTGTAAACAGATAGTTGTATTTCATTAATAAATGGTCAGCTTCTTAGCTGGAGTTAGTCAGCTGTACAGTGATGTAATTTGCGTTGCTTTACTGAATATGTGTTATGAATCTGATCAGCTCTAAACTCTACTAATTTACCAGTAACACTCAGAACCTTTCTGTATGAACAGTCTGATCAAATCACTGCCTATGGTGTCTTCAGGCCAAGGGTTTTGTGTGTTTTAGAAAAAGTAATAGTAACCTGAGCATGTTGTCATCATGAGTGTAATGGCTCAAAAAATGCAAAGTTCTCTAGTAGCCTTTGGGAGTTGTGCACTCTAAATATATACGATGCAAATACACAAAATTATGCACTTGCATCCTATTGGAATGGGGGTTTTTGAACTCATTCTTTTCCCTCCTGTTGCAAAGATAATTGTCTCTGGGCAAAGTCAGAGCAGAGCCTCACTGTCTTGGCCTTGTCATCACATATCTCCCTATAGCCCTTTTTTTTCGCAGTCCAGCATGAGTCTCCTCCTTCATCTGTGTTGTTCTTTCCTGGTCCTACATACCACAATACTATATTTCCATCTGCTCACCATTTTTGCTACACTTTTTTTCCTGAAATATTTGCCAGTTTCTAACCACTAAACAACGATTTCAAAGGACTGGCAGGTTGAATTTTGTTCAGTTGACAGTTGGAAACAAGTCTAGTTCTGATTTTAAGAAAACTGAAAAGGAGGAGAGTGTTTTAGGAGGGATTCAACTACCTAGGCCAAAGCTTTTTAAATGTGATGCTGGAAAGTAACTAGCTCTTTTAACATGTTCAGGTTACAATCAAAGGAAAGATGTGCCCTCAGACGGGAATGGGAAAATCTGTATTTCTAATGGAGGATATCGATGACGAAGAAGGAGGCAAAGACATCAGTGTATCCACAGTCATGTGTTCAGTTGAGGAGTTGGCATTAACTCATTACAGGCAGAATGGTTATGATCAGGGTAAGAGTAACTTTTTTGTTTGTTTTTCCAGAGAAATAAGTGTGGCAGTACAGTGCAATTTACGAAGCAATTCAGTTAATAGACCAGTTCTAGCTGATTCCATTGGACTAGTTTTTAATCTGATTCTGTTCTAATACGTATTTTCAACCTAACCTGCTTTCTGGTCTTTACTTGCTGCCTTCATGTACCTAAGGTGGTTTTGAAATGTTTCAAAAAAAAGAAAAGCCCCAGTGTTTCTTCTGTATCTCCATAGAAAAGCACTCACTTTGCCTTTCTTATCAGTGAACAGCTATTTTATTTGTTAGGGTAGCAATGTCATTTAAGGAGTGTCATTAAGGAAAGGTACACCATAGCAAGACACTTACTTAGCAACTTCGTTTGAAAAGGCATGGTTTTTAGCTTTATAAGTAGTTGTTCATGTATTTTTGTATCTGTATATCAAAATATATATGTTTTTTCGTCCAATATATACATATATATATTTTAATATGTATAAAATGTAGATTTTTACACATATATATTGTTTATGTACGTAGTTGTTCATATATTTCATATATATATAGCTCCTATATATGTTCATATATAGGAGATGTGAAAAACTGAACATATAAGTCTGTTGTTGTATAGGAAAAAGCAAAATACAAAAAGGTAGTCAGGTTATTTTTATTTTTTTTAGAGAAAATTTGTGGTTTTAGATGAAATATTTTAGTGTGATTTTTGTATGACTGATAGGTTCCCAAATACTGTTGCAGGAAAAGTGGCCATATCAGAAAAGGATAAATGGGAAGGTGACAGTATTTAGACTTTGGGAGAATTGTCCTGAAGTCCCCACTCGATGCCTCACTCCCACCCACTCACCATCAGTCATCCAGGCTCAGTGGCTCAGTACACATTTGGAGCACACAGTGGCCCCATGTGATTTAGTGGTAGGCCTACGGGAATGGCATGCCTGTTCCAGCACTGTGCACATTAACCACACACATGTGCATGCACCCTCTCCCCCCATACTATATATTCTATATAGTATAATAACAAACATGTAGCATATATTGTATTATCTATGTGTAACAGTACATATAAATCATATATTATATTAAACATACGTCACAGAGTGGTTGAGGTTAGCAGGGAGCTCTGGAGGTCACACTGTCCCACCCCCTGCTTGAGCAAGGGCACCCAGAGCCAGTTGCTGAGGGCTGTGTGCAGCTTTTGAGGATCTCCACAACCTCCTTGGAGTGTGTCTGTGTGTATATAAGCACACACACACAGAGACTGTATATGGTATATATACACGTGTGTGTGTGTGTGTGTATATGTATACACATATATGTCTATAAATGTCTATATATGGCTATATGTGTGTATATATATACATACATGTTTATACCAACATACTTATATATGTACATTCACATACATGTTAAATGTTTTAAGTAATATTACAAATAATCTACTATAATATATAATTATATATATATACACAATAAATATAACACAATAATATATATAATAATATATAGGTAATATGCAAGATGTATTTTTATGTTATAAATGTGTTCTGGTTTTGCTATATATCATTACTAATACATAATTGTAGTATATGGTAATATAGAACATATGTAATCTAATCTGTAACACATAATACATGACGTGAGATACAGAATCATAAAATCATAGAATAGTTAGGGTTGGAAAGGACCTTAAGATCATCTAGTTCCAACCCCCCTGCCGTGGGCAGGGACACCTTATGCCAAATCATATCACCCAAGGCCTCGTCCAGCCTGGCCTTGAACACTGCCAGGGACGGAGCATTCACAACCTCCCTGGGCAACCCATTCCAGTGCCTCACCACCCTAACAGGAAAGAATTTCCTTCTTATATCCAACCTAAACTTCCCTTGTTTAACTTTTAACCCGTTATCCCTTGTCCTATCACTACAGTCTCTAATGAAGAGTCCCTCTCCAGCATCCCTATAGCCCCCCTTCAGATACTGGAAGGCTGCTATGAGGTCTCCACGCAGCCTTCTCTTCTCCAGGCTGAACAGCTCCAACTTTCTCAGCCTCTCTTCATATGGGAGGTGCTCCAGTCCCCTGACCATCCTCGTGGCCCTTCTCTGGACTTGTTCCAACAGTTCCATGTCCTTTTTATGCTGCGGACACCAGAACTGCACACAATACTCCAGGTGAGGTCTCACAAGAGCAGAGCAGAGGGGCAGGATCACCTCCTTTGACCTGCTGGTTACACTCCTTTTGATGCAGCCCAGGATACAGTTGGCTTTCTGGGCTGCAAGCGCACACTGAAGCCAGCTCATGTTCATTTTCTCATCAACCAGCACCCCCAAGTCTTTCTCTGCAGGGCTGCTCTGAATCTCTTCTCTGCCCAACCTGTAGCTGTGCCTGGGATTGCTCCGACCCAGGTGTAGGACCGTGCACTTGGCATGGTTAAACTTCATGAGGTTGGCATCAGCCCAAGGTCCCTCTGGATGGCATTCCTTCCCTCCAGCCTATCAACCGAACCACACAGCTTGGGGTCATTGGCAAACTTGCTGAGGGCACACTCAATCCCACTGTCCATGTCAGCGACAAAGATGCTGAACAAGACAGGTCCCAACACTGATCCCTGAGGGACACCACTTGTTACTGGTCTCCAGCTGGACATTGAGCCAACAGTGTCGGGCCCCTCTGCCCTCTAGGGCTGTTTCCCATGGAACCTTCCGAAGCAGGTTCCTGAAGAGGCCAAAGTCTGCTCTTTTGAAGTCCAGGGCAGTGAGCTTGCTGCACGCTCTTCTCACTGTCCTGAGGATCTCAAATTCGAGCATCTCGTGATTGCTGCATCCAAGGCTGCCCTGGAGCGTCACATTTCCAACAAGCCCTTCCCTGTTGGTGAGCACGAGGTCAAGCATGGCACCTCTCCTTGTCGGCTCCTCTATTACTTGCAGAAGGAAGTTGTCTTCTACACAATTGAGGAACCTCCTGGATTGCTTGTGCCGGGCCGTACCGTCCTTCCAACGGATGTCAGGGTGGTTGAAGTCACCCATGAGAACAAGGGTCTGCGAGTGTGAGGCTTTACCTATTTGTCTATGGAGTGCTTCATCTGCAGGTTCTCCTTGATCAGGCAGTCTGTAACAGATCCCCACAGTAATGTCCCCCATAGCTATATTCCCTTTAACCCTGACCCACAAACTCTCTGTGGACTGCTCACCTGTCCCCAGACAGAGTTGCATACTCTCCAGCCGGTCCCTAACATAAAGGGCAACTCCCCCTGCCCGCCTGCCAGGCCTGTCCTTCCTAAAGAGCCTGTAACCTTCCATTCCAACACTCCAGTCATAGGAGCCATCCCACCATGTTTCTGCGATGTCTATTATATCATACCCCCGTAGACGTGCCCACATCTCTAATTCCTCTTGTTTGTTCCAATATAATGTGTATTAACTAATTTACATATGTATGTATAAAAATATGTATATATACATGTATAAATTAGTTAATATATTGGTTATAGATTATTTTTCTATATTTATGTATATATTATATATACATTTATGTACATATGTATTATAATGTATATATACACATGTACATATATGTTATTATATAATAAATATTCCATATACATATGTATATATGCAAATGTATTTAATTTATATATGTGTTTCTATATACACACTTGTGTATATCTACACACACCTATATATATGCGACATAGAATCGCAGAATAGTTAGGGTTGGAAAGGACCTTAAGATCATCTAGTTCCAACCCCCCCTGCCATGGACAGGGACACCACACACTAAACTATATACATAGTTTATATACATATACACACGTAAGTATATTAAGAAAAATAGTTAATACACATTATATGCATGTATATATATGTCTATTTATGTATATAATTAACTAATTTTTATATGTGTGTATATGTATACATATACATGTATATGTGGCTATATACATGTATACATATGTACAGATACCTATGTATGTTCATGTACATACACACGGATGTACATATACATATGTGAATTACATTTATATATGTATGTATATACATGTATATATATATAGGTGTGTATATCTATACACATATATAAATTAGTTAATTGTATACATTTTAAAAAATGGGCTGATTGATATACAGACAATTTACTAAGTAACAGGGATAAAAACAGATGGTGCAGAAGCTGTCACTCACCACCAGCAGAGCAGTGCTCAGCCAGTGTTACTGAAGTGCTTATAAATAAATATTTGTATTACACGTACAATACACACAGGTAAGCATATATATGTGTAAGTACACATACAGGAATACATGTATTATATATGTAGGTTTATTAGAAAATGTTTTTATGTATACAACCAGTTTTTTACTAATGTATTGCATTTTTAGTACACTGGCTGGGCATTGGTCTCCTGGCAGTGAGTGAGTGCTTTTTGCAGCACATACATGTATAGATGTATGTACAGCTCCATGTATGTATGCATGCATTTGTTTATGTATAGAAGAGATTCATATAAACATTTTGTTACTAATATATTACTTTTTAGTGTAAATGTTTTAAATTGTGTATTAAAAATTGTTAAACTGTAGTTGTGACAGGGCACAGTAATTTCATCCTGTCAGGGAAGGCCACTAGCCTGGAAATATAAAGCATTAGCAAATTGTGGAGTAATAAAGTGCATTTGGAACTTGATGCTGTAACATTAGGATGTATCGACTTCAGGTGTGTGTACAGCTGAGCTTGGTATGTTTGTGTTTGGATCATGAGGATTTAGTACCTCTTTCTGTGAGACTGCTGTAGAAATTAATGTTTCCGTTGTTATTAAATTTTGTCCTTTAGGTATTCATGGAGAAGGCTCAACGTTTATCACACTCTATGGTATTCTAATGTGGGATATCATTTTCATGGATGGCATACCCGATGTTTTCAGAAATTCCTATCAGGTTTGTAAAGCTTTCTTTAGAGAATTTCTTTACCCATTGCTAAAGACTGAAACCATGTGGAAATTGTATTTGGGCTTAGATTAACATTTTATTCTGAAGGTCTTTGCAGGCAGATCTTCGTGTTTGCTTGGTTTTATTATTTGTTATATTGGGCTTGTTGCTGAAGGGCTCCTTGGGAACTAATTGCTCTGTGGGTCTAGATTGACTGTCAGGGTGGGATGCATCTGGCTAAATGCCTGTGTCCTGTATCTGAAGTCCCCAGGCAGAGCTTCCAGTAGAAGAATACTGCTGTACCTGAGCGTTGCTCAGCTCATTTGAAGATGATGTATTTCATTAAAAAAAAAAACAAAACAAAAACATACCTATCTTCTCAGGAGCCTCTGAAGGGAATTCCCATTTCTGAGCTCAGGTTTGTTTGCATCCCTCCTGCACCACCCCAACACCTTCATGCTTTTGGGGTCTTCCCTCCTTTTTTGTCAATGACCCAAGCAAGCAAACAGCACTGCACTCACCCCAGCAGCTCCCTGTCGTGTACCCTCAGGTTCATGATTCCAAAAGCCGCAAAAGACTTGCGGCTTTTAACTAAAAACCAGCAGCGCACGGGGCTAGGATGTGGCCAGCGTTTGTTGCAGGGGCACTGGATGGTAAAATAAGTGCAAATGTTTTCCCGTTTAATAAAGGTTTATGTGGTGGCCATGTTGACGTTAAATTGAGTCAGTGGTTGTTAGAGTGAATTTTTCGTAGTTAAGGAAACTACGAAGTAGGGCATTGTCATTCTTGGAGTCACTGCTTCGCTGGCAGCTCCTCAGAGATGTGCTCACCTTTTTATACAGACTTTCCCCCTGGATTTATACACTGACAGCTTCTACGAGAACAGGAGGGATGTCATTGAGGCCAGCCTTCATCAGCTGCAGACAGCTTCCTCAGAGACACTGGCAAAGCTGATTGCTGACGTCTGGACGGCACAGGAGGGAAAAGCAGCAGCACTGGTTAGCTGGGGGCGTTTTAGTTCCCTCCAGCAAGTTCAGGTGAGGAACTGTGGTCCAGAATGGGCACTCATTTGATTGGGCTTGCTGTTAATTCACAGTTTATAGCAAGGCACTGAGCCATGACTGATGGGGAAAGGGAGGACTTGCTTGGGGATGTAAGCACAATACTGTGACTTTTCTGATATGTCAGTCACTTTTCCTGCAACAGTAGCTGGGAACAGAGGAGGGAAGTTGCTGTAGATAAGATCTACTTAAGCCTCTTGTCACACAAGACTAAACAAAAAGCTGAGATGGGCCCTAGAATGTTCTTGAGAGTGTCGGGAAGTGGCTGTACAGGAAAGTAAAGTTAAAAGTAAGGCAGCTTCCAGCACTTCTCTTACAGAGCCTGGTCTCCTGCCTCGGGGGAAGGTTTCTGAGCGGTGTTTTCCGGCGACTGTGCAGGGATCTGCGGCACTGCCGCGCGGGGCTGCCTGACTTGGTCGTGTGGAGCACTCACACCCAGCACTTCAAGGTATGGCAGATGAGCTGAGCACCGTGTCCGTGATCTTACCTCAGGTGTAAAACCTGGACCCATACAAACTGTATTATCCTGTTGTGGTGGAGTTGAACCTGCTGCTCATCTGCCCAGTAGCTGTGGCACACAGTGAGTGGTTGTTTATCTGCCATGTCATCACATTTTGCTGTAACTTTAATGGGCCTAATGAGAAACAACACGAGGTGGCAAGGTATTGTTGTAGAATAAGTCTAATTAAAATTGCTGAAAGCAGCTGTACCCATCAGTTGTAGATGTTCTGGGTGCTGTTAACAAGGGGTACTCATGCCTCCACTTACATAGAATCTTGAACATATGAGACTACAACTGTGTCTCTGCCACAGAAATTGAGCAAACAGTCATGGATTGTGTCTGGCCTGGTAGTGGAACAGGTACCAGAAGACTACTGTGCATCTCAGCTGCTGGAGCAACTTGTCATGGATCTATAAGCCAGAGCTGAGTAGCTGGAATTAGTTCTCTAGAACATCTATGTTGCTTGTCAGTACCAGCTGGAACAGGTGAGGTTGCAGAGGATAAGTTTTTGAACATGTGGTATCTGTCTTCATTCACTAGTGCCTTTGCCTTTGTTTTGGCAGATATTTACCATATAAATTCCATTCTTACAGTTAAACTTTGGAACATGGGTTAATAGTTAGTTTAGCCCTCACGAGGATTTCTGTTGTGCCAAATCTATATTATTTTTGTTGCAAATAACAGCCATAAAAGAATACTTACATAAGCCTGCAGGAGCTAACGATCTTTTAGTTCCTCCACAGGCACACTACTAACCAATCATCCACATTCCTTTGTAGCTGGTGGAAGTGAAGGGGCCCAATGACCGCCTGTCCCACAAGCAGATAATATGGCTGAGTGAACTGAAGAAGCTGGGTGCGACAGTAGAAGTGTGTCATGTGCAAGCCACTGGAGGCAAGAGTAAACGCCTTGGGTAGTAACAGAGCTCTGGAGCACTTGGGTAACTTGGGTGATTTTAAAGGAACTGGCATCACACACACACCACTGGCTGCTGCTTATTAAAAGTAGTTTCTTCTGAAAATCTGGTTTCTTGCAACATTCCTGTAGTTGGGTTTAGTACAACACATTCTAGAAATGGCAAAGACTGTCAGTGTGACTTACTGTATGTATTACCACTTATGTCACTGTGGTCAGAGGAACAAAGCCTTTCTCTTCTGTTCAGTATTAAGAACTAACTTTGTAACCTGGGGGTTTGCCCAGGAACAAGAAAAACAGCTGCAGTCACACACACCAAGAACATCCTCCACAACAAAACTTGGGCTTCATCAAGTCCTGATCACCTGTGGAGCCCGAGTTCATCATGTTGTCCAAGTTCCCTTGCAAGGTGCACGTTGCCTTTCCAGGATTGTCAGGACCAGCATTGTTCTCCAGCTGTCCCTGATTTGTATTCTGCATTTCAATTTGTCAGTTTAATATAAAAAATAGAGCTGGTCAGTGATGGCATGGAGTAAAGCATAACCCTGGGGTTTTTCTTAAACGCTGTTTTAATGTGCTGCTCTGTATGAAAGGATAATGTATTTAACAGCCCCTTCTGCCATGAACATCTGTAGTTCCTGTGGAAAGGGGAAATATTTCCGGTAGTAGACAGGAGTTGTTCAGTGCAAGACCACTGCACCCCTGTACATCATGGTATTGGTTACAGTCAGTTTTGCCCCACATGAATTGCTGTGTTTCCTCATTCAGAAATAAGCCAGTCAGCAACTAAAAGGATCAGCTCTCTTTTAAGACACCAAAATCCTGTGGGTTTGTCTCAGGTTTAACACACGGTCAACTCTGTGCAGTCTTCATTCTCATACTGAGTAAGTTTTCCTGGTAGCAGAAATTCTGCTTACCACACAAACAGCAGACATTGTAATAGAACATAAGCTGTGCAAATGATCTTAATTTTGCACTTTCTATGAATCCTCTTCCTAGGGCACGGTGTTCCTGCTTTTCTTGGAAAAAGAAAACACCCCCCAACTGTTTTTTTGTTAGAGGAAGTAAAAAAATGGCCTGAAGTTCACTGTGGAAAGGTATGAACTTTTATTTAGTCTAATTTAATTCACATTCACAAGTCAGCATCAGGATTTTATAATCTTCCTGGTACTGCTACTTTACTCAATAAATCATTATCAGGCACAAAGGTTTTAGTTTTCAGTTGAAATAGTGAACTCTAAACCATCACAGCAACAGCATTAGGAACCTACTGCCTAGAGTGAGTTGAGGTACAGATTTCTGTCTCTTTGTTAGAGGCAAATTTAAGATTTTGTCCTTTGCTTAAATGTGAGTTAGAAATTTTTTGGTCTTAAATGTCTTCCCATCTGAGAGTTTGCCAAAACCTTTGCCCCCCTTGCTACATTTTCATTAAAGATACAAGGCATTTGATTTCAGAGTGGTATTGCAGGCAGTGCACAGTGAACACACATGCAGGCCTGGGCATACATACACCAACACACACTTTTCAACGCATCTCTGGAATGAAAGCAGTGTCTCTGATGCATGGCAGAACATGGTGAAAATAGCTGCACTACCATGAGAATGCAGTCTACAATTAGCTCTATCTTGCAGTAATTAATGACACTGGAGGGACACCTTAATCAGTGTTCCGTGTCCCCCCATGTGGTTTACAGTGTAGTACAAAAGTCATGATAGAACAGCCAGTAACAGCCAAAATAGTGCACGTGTTCTAGACACAGACAAAAGAAAGAAGCTTCTTGGTAGTTGTTCTACTCTTGCAACACCAGGATGGCATTAACAGGATGTTGCTTTAAATGGTGAATAGAAATTAAAGTTTGAACATGTGTACATATATACACACACACACATACATATACATTTGTGTGTCATTACTCTGTACAGAGAAGTTAAACATACATACTCACACCCCAAAATTGCTTTTGAAAGTTACCAAAGACCGGTTCAGAGCAGTCCTGCTGACTATTGATAAGGCAACTGTGCAGATTGGAGAATTAACATCTAGTACCTGTCTTTCAAAAAGTAAATTCAAACAAGTCAATAACTTCAGAGGAGAACCACACACAGAGGCACGCGCAGTGCCTCAGACTCTGAGAAGCAGGATCTGGTGCCCATTCCCAAGGCAAGGCAGACAGCTCCCCATCCTCCCTGTCCCCCTGCAGTGTGTGGCCATCATGGCCTCTGCTCCTCCAACTCCTCTTTTTGAACTGTGTAAAATTTCTTTGTAAGTCTGTTTGGTAAATTGATATTTAGACAGGTTTTATTTTAAAGGCATATTATTTTCATCCCACTCCCATACTCTCTATATAAAATACACAGACCATCTGCAGCATCTGTACACATCTTAGAACTGAAATGTAAAAATGTCTGAAATCTCTTACAAAAGACAGTCCTGTTTCAATACAGTACCCATTTCCCCCCAAAAGGTACTAGCCAACAAACATTCATTCTACTTTTGTATTCCACCAGCTGCTTGTGAGGAGCAGTTTATTTACACAGTTTTGGTACTTTTAAACCAAAGTTTTAAGGAGGAGGGAAAAAAATAAAGACTCCATATTTTTGACTGTAATTTTAAAAAGGAAAAATTTGGTACCAAAAGCCACTGAGCACACACATTGAGGTCTTTTAGTCAAGTATCAGGCCGGGGAATGCACGAAGCTAATGCGGGAAAAAGAAATCACAAAGGCAAACTAATATCAACAGTTGAATAATGACTTGAACAAGCAGATGTCTGCTCCAGCAAGCTTGTAAATGAACAACTGGTTTGTGGACCATTTCACATGCTCAAACCATCTTGCAGCATAAGCAGGCAATTGAGGCGAATACATGGTTTTTCCTCGCAAGCAGTTGATCAGAACCAACCTGGCGTTATTGTAACATACATGTGTGAGTCCACGCGCAGACGTGCACACACGGCTGCTTTGCATAGAGAACAAATTTGGGGGGTTGGTTAAAAAGGAAGTCACCCCCTCCCCCATGAACCTGCCGGTCACCCCCTGCCAAACCTGGTGCCCTTGCAGCTCTGCAGGGCAGGCATGAAGCCTGGGGAAGCAGGGTCCTGCAGGCACTGGGCTCCTCTAGCACAAAGCTTGCACCTCTGAGGCCACTCCGGACGCACATCCTCTAAAATAAGACTTGAGCAATCTTAGATATCCAAACCCTACACTGCAATTTAGGCTGTGCTGCAGACCAGTCTGGTTGTAAGAAGGAAGAGCTCCACATCCTACCCCTCCCTGCCTTTTTTTAACTCTAACATACTGTGCATTATCATCATACAGCCTCTTTGTTTCCCCTGATAGCTGAGAACAGCTTCTAGCTCACCACGTAAGGTCCTCAGTGCCTTAATTTGTGAGTCAGCATCTGAATGGTGGCTCAGTGTTGGTTCAATAGCATTTGTGTTTTACACAGAAATCAGGTACAGAAAATACAGCACTGCTGGTCCACACACCCCCCCCCCCCCCCACTCCCCCAATATACTTTACACTCTTGATTTTCTCCCTGTGAAACTTGAGGGGTCTTCTGGCATTGCATCCAGGGGAAGGTATCATGTAAAAGGCTTTGGAGCAAAGACAAGGCTGCTGCATTAAGCAGAGGGAGGCTGTTGGATTTAATTTCCTCAAACAGTGCTTGCCCATTGCTTTGTCCATATGGACATGCATGTGTGCAAAAAGAAGGCACCACTAACCACTCTTCCTCCAGCACCTGCTTACAAGTGACAACAGCTCCACTTGGAGCCTGCCTGGAACCCAGCACAGCTTCAGTATGAATCTTGCTGAAAGCATATTTGTCCTACCACAGAATGAGGAGAGGGTGGGCAGGGATTTATTGTTGAGTATTGGAGGTGCTTATATAGAAAAAGAGCTTAACCTTTAAGAGGAAAATCTTGCTGGAGAATCTGCCCTTCTGGTATTTCCAGAAAAGGGGAGGGGGCTGGAACAAAAACTTACCTTATCAACCTACTGTAAAAAGTTGGGGGGGGGGGTGTCAGCTGCATTAGAGTAACCTTGCTGCTGTCTCCTCCCAATTAAAGGCACTTCTAAAGCTACTACAATACCAGTTCTACAGTAAATGTTTTAAGGTTAACAGTGCATCGCCCTGAAGTTGATTCTTATAATCTAAAGTCAAGCTCATGAGAAAGACCACAAATGTGAGTGATTGTTAATGAATACATTTTGGGGGGAGAAAGAAAAGAGTGCACAATCCCTGGATACACACTGCATCAACACCTATGTAGGGTGACCAAGTCACAGAACATTAGTGGATATGTATGTATGTCCACATGGAAGTGTTCTTCCTGAAGAGGCAGTCTGATGAAACAGTCTATTCCCAGGTTTCAGCTGTCAGTCTGTGTCCCCTGCACCCCTGCACTGAACTCTCTGACCTGCCGAGCTGTTGACACTACGGTCACATCAGTCACTATCTGAGAAAATAGATCTGTTGAGCAGAACCCTCATGCATGACCATACCAAGCCCTTCAGTTAGCTAATGAAGTGCTCCACCGCTTAGAATGAGCCAAACCACAAAACCACGGAGGAATTCGGGACCAGCAGCCCTAGCAGGTGACAACTACTGAAGATGAATGTGTGCGATCTGAAGCATGACTGCTTTGCTTTTAAATATCTGTGCAAAACTTACGTAATGTTTGTATAGAAAAATTATTACAGCTTTCAATGCCGCATTTAGCAGTGTTAACTTAGAAAAGACAAAGTGATAGGCTCTATTTTCTCTACAACTTTAAACCATCACAACATCTCAGTCTTCGTTTGCAAGCGTCTCAGTGGATAGCCAGATTTTGGCACCACTTAAAAATTTGCTTAAAGGTGTTCCCAGAATGCTCCGTCTGCAGAGGTTCCCTACAGGAGAAAATGGGAATGAGGAGGAGAGAAAGTCTGGGGCCCCAGAGGTGTCATTTAAACCATTTGCTCTGAAGTACATCCTGCTTTGATCCAGTTCCAAGCAGCTGCTGTGCAAAGAAGAGTTGCTTTTGTACTGCCGAAGACTCCGGTTTAACATGTCTACCTCATCTGCCAGCAAAGACACTTTGTGGAAAGCAGTGATGGAACCACC